TCCTCCTGCGTACATCATTTTCATTCTTGTATGCCCGACACGTTCGAAACTTTGATTTCATTTACCGACCCCGTTGGTTTAGTATTTCTATTTACACCCGACACCATAACCAATCATGGTTCATGGACCGATAGCGGGAAACATGCTTGCGACACGTCGAAATATCCACTATAACGGTAAACGTCACACTTGTTCCTTTACGAACGCTTAGTATTTACACAATTCTCTTATAATCTTTGTTCTCACGATTGATTAAAAAATTATCTGTCAAATTTTGGATAATCTCAAGGTCTTTGATTAGAAAACTGTTGGTGGTTTCGGTGAATACATGTATGTATGTACTCCTATAGAGTGTATGTACACATATTCAACCTGGAAGTCGATGAGCTATATGAGGATACCGATATTAACCTTTCGTGCGACTGAACGTCGCTGATCGATGCCATAGCTCATTGTGCATTGATTGTCAATTTAAACGGAGTTCGATAAATTCTTCCTGTCAGTTGCATCAGAAAATTGAAACCAGATGTATCCGTCAAACTAGATAACAATTGCTGGACCGACTGATGTAATCTCTCTACCCTGTACGCTAAGCATACTGTAATCAGTAGTTCATTCGCGATTCAAAAAGGCCGGCTTTATCGCGACATCCATCGTGTATAAAGGTTACTATCGTGTCTTCCATTTTCCGTGTATTCAGTGGTTACGTTAGAGTATAATCACGTTACGTGCATATAATTAATATGTGAACATTAACAGTAACACGATGAAATCAAGAGTCATGGAACACTGGACTCAGACTGTTTGGTGTATACATTAAATATTATATATGTATATATATATATATATATCTACTGTATATAGAAACGTGCATACATAGTAATGATAACATACCACACAACAGTATCTGATTCCAATTACGTTTCTACGCAGCGAGATGATAAAATTTGGCCAAATCATCTTCAATACGAATATTTTCGTAATTTACGGAGTGTTATATAATAAAAAAACCGTTCATTCACTGATCTCCTGGGACGGTGATGCAAACGCATGAACACACAATCGTTTTTGTGATTCTTAAACATTGTCATAAACACTTTTTGTAGAAACAATACGAAGACTGTCTCAATGAAGTCGAATTAAATGACGTTTTATGTATACGAATTTAGTAAGATTTATTTATTTACTGTTTTCCTCGTACATATTAAACTAGAGCACCCTTCGAAATTTGACCTATCTTTAACTACTGTGACCACGTGATCGATATTGCGTTAATCAATGAAAGATGTTGGAGAAATTTTGAAACAACTTACGGAACTTACAATAAAATATTCTATCGTCGTTAAATAATGCGACACCGCGGTTGTGTTCGAATAGAACGAAATATGGGTGCTTGTTTAATTACGATAAAAAATGTTTCTTTTGTTATTTGTAAAGGAACACTTAACAAATGTATTGATAACTGGAAGATGTAACTTTATGTATGTACAAGAGTTTTAACAAATAGATGTATATATATATATTAGAGCACGATATGCATGTAGGATATAAAATTAAATTTGATCAAATACCATATAATTCACGATGTATTTGAAAGGAAGAAAATAGGACATATGGTATCGTAAAGTAACAGCACACATCAAAATTTACAAATAAAAGTATTCGTAGAAATATAGATATCTAAATTAATATAAAAAATATTATTTATAACACTTTATAAAAAACGCGGAAAATACTCTATACTCTATGATACATATTAATCGCAGACGCATTTCGCGCAATATACAATTCTCAATTATTGTTCGAAATATACATTATTTTACGCTGGAATAAATAAAAGTCTGTACAAATTCAAAACGTAACTTTGAATTCTATTAAAATTACTTTTCGTATCGCAGTTGCTACTTAAATACTTATTTAAGTACAAAATCAAATCTCGAGTCTTGCGAGCACATCGTTCTGAACGTAATCTAGGCGATATTTTTTCTGAAACTGTACGAAGAGCTCGCATAAATAATCGATAGATATGCAAATATGTTGGTTAGAAACTTGGGAACACCTAAAATCGAATTGTGCTACCTAGCACCATGTTTGAATAGAAACCTGTTCATTCTGTACAATTATCAATCTTTTTTTTTTATATATAAAAAGAACACATCGATCATGAGTTTACAACAGGAAAGATACTATTATAGAATAAAAATATGAGAATGAAAAAAAGCTAAATGCAATGAATGAGTATGAAGGACCAAGACAAGAGTTTACATGACGGTGCAGCAGTTTTTTTCGGAGTGGTTGTCACCGACAATGTCGCTGGTGTTTCCGGTGAATCGTTGAAAGTCTCCGCCAGCGTTGAGTTCCGAATTGGCGATAGACGATACAGGAATACCATTTCCATTCGCGTCTATCGAGCCCGTAGATATGTGTCGATTCTGCGCCCTTTGTTTCTTCAAATCCGACAACGATTTGACAAAAACTACCGAGACGTGTATGTTGATCTTGCCATTGGTGTCACGGTCCGGCGTGTAGATTGATTGTTGATTACCGACCGACCGGTCGGACCCTGTCACTACCGGGGCAAACATGTAAATCGAACGCTATTTTCCTTCTTCGAAATTCACGTGAAATTTCGTTCCCTTTTCCTCCCATTCTATTCCATTTCACTTGTCACCTTTCACCACGTGTAACCTCCACCAAATTCCCTTTCTTATAACACTGAAAACGGTACTTAAAAAAAGAAACTCGACTAGTATCGACTAGTAGCCATGCGCCAAGCGTTACATGCTTTAGCGATAAAAGCGTTAGAAATATTGCACACGAAAGTATGGAATGTATTTCTATATTCTACATGTACCTACATGAATACCTCCATCACCGTCTATGCTCCATTAGCGAGTTATTACACTTACGAACAACTTTTGAAATTTTTTTTTGCTTTCGGAAGAAAGGAACAATTTTTAACAATCTGTTTCCTCCGTATTCCAAAGAAAATAATAAACGTAACTCCTACCTATTACCGCGTCAGATTGTAAAAAAAATCTTTTAGGCTTTTAGTTAAATGTATTCAATTTGGCACAGAAGATTTAATTTAGAATCTAGTTTTCGTATGCAGCAGAACTGCTTGCATGTAAAACAAAATATACATATAAAGCATACACAACAGTTGAATTCTCTGGAACATTGAAATCAGTTACTTCATGTTTCCTTGAAGTATAAAATAATATCATTCTGAACTGTGTCGATGTCCAAATAATATATATTTTATAATGTTAAATTAAAATCATTTAAAATCAATCACAATTTTTTATCACTAGTTTTAGATCATGTACGATTTATTAAAAAGTAGCAACAAGAATTATAAAGGATATAATATAATGGATTAAACCATTTTTAAAAATAGCAAATGTACCACAGATGTAATGTCAGTTCTTTAACAATAATACTTCTTATCAAATTTTCTAGTAATAATTAACTAAAATGCTTATCTAAGATTTATAAGTTTACTTCGCTATGGCATACAAAACTTTAAGTCAGCTGTAATCACATTAATGTTTAAAATTAAGTACAAATTACTCGAAATATATAATTTAATGTAATTGACAATTTATGAGAAATATTGCACCAGTATGATCGATTTGATGTTGAACTTGTAGTAAAAATTCGCCAATGTCTATATTGTATTAACAACATGAAACAATTTAATACCGTGACACAACTGACCTCGTAACGACTTTATCATTTAGAGATAAAACTAAAAAACAGGAAGACGTATTGCGCGAGTAAGTATCTAACAATGAATGAATACAGTTCGTCGTCATCGCAGCCAATACGTTAGGTCTGTGAAGAAGTTCTATCACTTTTTATTGTGCAAATTCAAGATTGTTATTAAGCATGGAAACTCTAAGTTACTGTAACACTTAATACTTTACGAGTATTGCAAAATACAATAAAATCATTCTTTAAGGAAACAAATATGGCAATTTATAAAATGTTGTGTTGTAAAAGTGATAAAGTACACTTTTAATGTTATAAGGGCTTAAGGTTTATTAAAGAAAATTATCCATCCCAAGTGGAATCAACAACTACTTAAGGGAATGGATACTACTAACTGTTATAACAAGATTTGTTATAATTACTTTAATGTTATTCCAATTATAAAATATACAATAACTGTGATAAAAAATCGTTTTAAATAAATTCATTTTTTCGACAAATGTTAGAACTTTCCTACAGACCTAACACAGATATTAAAGTTGTTCGATATGTCTCATGTGCGAAATACTTTTTCGTTTTACTAATATTCTTTTGTTATGATATGCTGTAAGAATACATGGAAGTGCTCATTAAATATTATTTATTAATGTACTGCAGTGTAGTCTAAACTCTATTTAATCGTTTGACTGAGGAATGGAAAGTTGAAAATTCCGTTGTCATACTATACTACGTTTCTAATCATTTAGTTACTTGAACAAGTTAATGCAGGGAAAGATGTTGAAAGTGTATGTAAGATTTGTCTGGATTCTACTCATATACCTGGGGGATGTTAAGTTATTTGTGTAATGTAAATGTGCGTTTAAGTTTCGAACATTCTGAAATGTATTACATACGTATAAAAATCACGTTACAAAAATCTCGTTTCAATTAAAATTATCACAATGCTTTCTCGCATGTAACAGTCAATAAGCTCTGCTAAATTCTACCAATGTACTTTTGCCAAAGTAGTGCCAAAAGAAAAGCGAGTACAACGTAACCCTTGCCGCAAAAAACTTGATGTCTCAATAATGAAGTTTCCATTCCAGAAAAGTATTCTCGAAGAGAAAAACACATTATGTATGCACACAATATACAAAGATGATTCAATACGGTATGAATTAATATCTCGAAACATACGATAATGTGTTAAGTTCAGAAGTAATGCAAACGCTGCATTCAAAAGTACGTTCAAAGGAATAGAAAAGTGACGTAGAAAACTGACCTCGCAATTATTCGGGAGCACGACGCATTAATAACAGAAAGAAGAAAGAGCTGATAAATAATCAATGCTCAATATTTTGTTTGATAATTTGTCAGTAATGCTAGTATGACTACTTTTTCTATGCTACTGTAGTAATGCAGAATCATCCTGAGTAATAAAATTTCAGTATTTGCGGACAATGCTTCTTCTATTATTTGAACCAATAACTTAATATTTCATATACCACGCGCACGTTACATTATAAAATTGCAATTATTACGATACGTTACCAAGGTCTAGTTATGCGTTATAAACGCACGATGTTAATGGACACGACACATTACGTTTTCTATGATAGAATTTTATGCGCAAAGCTACCATTTACCAGAGGATTCTACTTAACCATAACCGATGCAAGTGTAACATGTTTTGGAATATACCTGATTCTTTATCGACGTCTTCGTGAAGGAAAGATTCATTATCCTTTCCCTCGGGACCTTTTCGTACTGCTGTTGGCGGTCCAGTAGAATCAATCTCACTACTTGAATTCTCTCGTGCACTAATTTCACTTTCTGTTTGAGGCACATTCGCCGCTGAATTGCCAACGTATGTCTAAAGCATAGCGTTATCCTTATTACTAAATTCTGATCATCCTTAATATAAATTAATGAAAAGAAAAAAAAGAACGCTTAAAAGTTTAGACCTGTTGTGCTTGTAATCTGAGACGAGCTTCTTCTTGCGCATCCTTTTTCGTGGTCAAAACCTTATCTCTGATTGAAGTTCGTCTTACACTTTGAGTACGTGTATTTATACTTTGAGATCTGCGTACTCGTCTTCCTTGTGCTTCCCGTAATCGTTTACTCTCTTGCTCCGTTTTAAGTTCCACTATTCTTTCTCTTATTTCAGGATCTTCACAAATGTCTATAAAGTTGTGTTCAACGCTTTATTAACATTAATACCCACGTAATAGTATTTTGAACAAATTCTTTTAATCAAAATATTACCAGCTGGAGTTTCTTCGTGCTTATTTTTAGCATTTAAGTCTGCTCCATTTTGTACTAATAACTCAAGAACTTCTAGCTAAAACGAAATAACAACTTTAAAAAATAGTGATTAAAGCAACTGAATTAATACATATCATATATTCTGTCCTCACATGTCCCCAACATGCAGCTGCATGAACTGGTTGCCATTTGTCATTATCTTCAACATCTGTTGCAACATGTTGATCCAAAAGAAACTCAACCACTCGTAAGTAACCATTTGCAGCTGCAATATGAAGCTACAATTTGGAAAAGACAAAAGTCACCTTTTTTTTGTAGTTAATAACAAACTACTTTTTCCACGCTAATATTATTACTGTTCACTTGTGTACTCACTGGTGTAGCACCTTGATGATCCTTATACTCAAGATCACCACCCACAGAAGTAATATGCTGTAAGTCTCTCAACATTTGAACTTCTATCGAAGCTCTTGTTTCATCTATCAATTCTTGAGTTACTCCCCATCTTGCCATTTCTCCTGAATTACATAAATAAACGTGACGTGAGAAATTAATGCAATACAATTAAAATTTTCTTACCAAATGCGAATAAAGTCTTAAGTATTTCTACCTTCAATGCAATCCAATGTTTTTTCATCTTCACAAATGTCATAAGGCATGTTACCATCAGCATTAACAGCTAATAAATTGGCACCCCTGGCAATGAGATATTTAACTAAATGTAGGTGACCACAAGTAGCAGCAGCATGTAACGGAGTCCATTTTTCACTGTCTTCTGCATTAACATTTGCTCCAAACTCAATTAATAGTTTCATCATTTCTTCATTATCGTCTATACAACACTGATGCAAAGCTGTCAACCCATCTTCATTTGTCGAATCTGGATTTACTCCCTTTTTTAAAAGCCTTCTCACTAAAATTGCACAACTATGGTTAATGATAATGTACTTAAAATGTTATCACAATTAATCAATTTTATTGTCTGAATGTCATATCACCTTCATCAATGTCGTTTCTTGCTGCAGCTTCCAAAAGCATAACACTGTCATTAAAATATATATGACGTTTGTTACTTGTATGCCTAGTTTGATGTCTCAACCATTCTTTCTCACGCTGGCGCCATACTTTTAATTGCTGAAGCCTTCTGTGGCGGGCCAAATGCAATCTCTCTTGAGTTGTTAGTCTTTCTACATGCACCATTTCTGCTACTAAGTCAGAATGTTCCATGGCTATATGCTTATAATTTTTGCAGCTATATTTACCTAATCAAAAAATAAACTACTTTTTATTTTACTTATGCGATGAGATATCCTTACTGTGCTATTATCTTTGATATATTAAAGAAATAACAATAACTGGAACACATTCGAATTTAAAAGATGGATTTGGATGTTAAACAATTTACCTTTACACTCACAAAGCCATGAATGTATTCCAAGGTATTTTAAAATTTTTCGATAAATATTAGGCATCATTCTGACATAATATCAAGTTTTGCTCTTTCAGATTCAAAAACCTGTATTAAAATGGGGAACTTTCTTCATTGGGTATTTCATAGAAATGATATCATACCTTTATCCAAAACTCTATCACACTTATCAAGTACTTAAGTAAGTAAACGTACGATATTTACACAATTGTTCTGAAATACTCGTTTGAAACCACCATATATAGAGTAACAGTAACTTAATATTCATTCTGTTTCATTTCTTCAAATTGTACTTCAATGACATACTTTCTTGGAAAAACATTATAAAGAAAATACTTGTGTACTTGACAATTTTGAAAGAGCTATTATACTTCAAGGAAATTTCTTTGAAAAAAAAATTTAACATTTCCTAAAAATTTACATAACTTAAATTCATTCTAAAAAATTTATCACAAAATGATTCTACATCATATATAATACAAGCAAGTGTATTATATAATTGCTAACATAACTGATAAGAAGAAGAGAAGTACAATACATAATATCATTTATGATTCACGTACTAAAAAAGAAAAATGCATAATGCAATGTTCGACTTATCTAATACTCAATGAAAGAAAAAAAGTCAATGGTAAAAAAAAACTATACTGTACAAATGTACTACACAGAACGATATTGTTTTGCTCTCATTCTTTATTTTTCGTGTCTTATCTGTGAACGTGTGAACCAAAAAAAACCCATTAACACGGTTCCTATATTTAGAAAGAAAAGTAGATAAGAACATCTAAAAAAGGGGGAAAACGAATATAAATAGAGAATCAAATATTAATGGGAGCGAATTAGAAGCGGAAATGTGAATATGCTTGCTACTTCGCGATCGTAACTCGAGAGTTAACACAGGTGAAAGAAGTCTGTTCTAGGACTGGCGGGTGTTAAATCAGGATGTACTCACATCGGCAAGCGATTGCTCGTTCGTTCACTTATTTGTTCGCGATCCAGTGGAATGCGGAAGTTTGCTTGTTCGTTCGTTCATTCGTTCGATTTTTTTCGTTCGTTTCTCGCTGGCTCGGAAAACGGCCAAGAAGAAATGCTGAAAATTCAGTTGTCCAGCGGAGCCGAGCGGAGCTGAAACACGCGAGCACGACGTAGCGGAGAGAAAGTCACCGTATTGATCGACAAAATCGTAACATAATTCGCGAGATTTCTCCGATGCGACGTTCCGACTGAGGAAAATTCGATCGAAGAGCCTGAACGAACCCCTCGGCTTCGGTTTCACGTGAATCACATTGGTTCTGGCCTTATCGCGGCGCCGTGCACGCGAGAAAACGCGTACCTGTCAGTCGCCATTTTTAAACTACCTGTAGAAAATCATTCGCGCGTTGCCCTTCACCGCGCGCTAACTTCGAGTTTTTTTTTCGAATTGCTCTTATGCTCACGGCCTGTCTCCATGCACTCGCGCGGCGCCACGCACAAAACTTTTATCTCTCCGTTGAACTTTCGTCTGACTACCATCCAGACGGAAATTAAGATTTGCTTAAAGGTATATATGTACATGAGCACTGTAAGAAAGGCGATAAGACTTATATTATGTACTTTTCTATTGTAGTTCAGCTAAAAGCCGAAATGATATAAAGTCGTAACTTACGCAACATATAAATGAATGCTTCAAGAGTATTTTAAGCCTAGAAATCACGTCCAACGTGGCATGGTTTTTTCTGGGGTTGCTTTGGAATCGATGGATGTTAAAGCAAGTTCATTTTATTTGCAAAACTATTTAGGGGCACATTTTTTGGAAAGTTTTAAGCTAGGCATTTGACAGTTTTACCATGTGTTCATAACATAGGTATAAAAATTGTAGATCTGATATTTTTGTAGGAAGAAAACAGTAAAGTATGCGGATAATATAGCTGTAGCTTTTTTATACTAAAACGTAAGGAAAAAAAGAGGATGCTGAATGTTTGACAGGTGTAAGGTGATAGATTCCTTTAAAATTGGAAGCTGAAAACCGTTCCCGGAACGTCAGATATTTTTACTGTCTATATTACTGTTATCTCAACTTCCTTTTGTAGGCAGAATCTTGTGAATTTATTTAATCATCAAATCTTCAAATCCAACTTATCGCGCCGCTTCACCTATACATTCGTGTTTTTCAATTATATTCTGATTAAATAAAAGTCCATCATACCTATGGTCTGATATGATTTGGAGAAATTCCTCTATGCGTACCGTGGCTGTTTACTTCACTCGATTTCTTTTCAGCAAAAGATAAAAAATTCCCTGAATTAAATTCTAGAGTAGAAAACACATTACATTTTTAAGTATATATAATCGAGTTCAAAAACATTCAGTATATTTATATTATAATTATAGTCATTAACATTTTCATGGTCGATGAAGTATGTACCACTATGTCTTCAGATTCATAAGTGGGCACTTATGGTACAATACAGTATGCTTTCATAATTTCAACAATTAGTAGGCAATAAACACATTTAATATTTTTGTCTAATTACAAATAATTAATAGCTGCATATTTTAACAGAAATATTTCTTATTCTTATACTTACTGAGATATGTAGCTATAGATTTTACTAATTGGATGTGGTTAACAAATTTAATTGCTCCTGATGTATTAAGTAGAATGTCGTTTCACTCTCAAATATATAATAATTTTAATGTTCCCGCCAGAGAGAGAAACCGTAGTACCGCGAATAAGGTGTAAAATACTACACTTTATATCAACTAATAATACGAGCTTCGGTTCCGCATCGGTAATGTCGAGAGTGATACGAAACCGAAAACAAAAATCCTTGTTGCTTCCAATCCGATACCTTAATGATGAAACGTGAACTGTTGACGGATTCTTCTTCGTTGTCATCATTGTCATCAAGAGAAGACACTGCAATGTCTCCTACAGCAACACGGATAAATGAGAAACAACAAGGAGGAAGAGTCGGCTTGGCCGTTGTCGCTGGATTTTTTGCAACTGTTGGAAGCATGTTGGGTAAACTTGCTGGAAATGCAGGAATGGATTCAGTAGTAAGTAACTCAATTTTCGTATATTCCATATACTGTTCCTTATCGAAAAAATGTGTGATAACTGCTCGTCTCTAAATAAGGTCGGGTTTCTTCTCAAAGGAATCCTCTTAGTACTGATGGTAACAAGTAACACAGTTGGCTGCACGTTTTTTGTGAAAGCGCTCAATGCCAGCGGATCTTCCTTACCGTGTACAATTGCCAGTGCCGCCACCAGTTACGTTTGTTCGGTAATTTCCTTATGAATACAGCCAAAATTACAACGAAATTGGTATACATATTTTCATCTTGGAGTTGTTTTTATTTTAATTTCTGATTGAAGGCTCTAGCAGGCTCCTTGATTTTTAACGAATCCACGTCGATGACTTGGTGGTGCGGCATATCGTTAGTTATTTTAGGTTTATTTTTCATCTGTCACAGCCCAACAAAAACCGACTATACGCCGTCGAAATTAAAAAAACAATAATTGTAAAACTTGTAACAGTATTTAATATCCACTCTAACGCGCATTGGACTGAATAAATAAATGGACAATCGCACTGAGAGTTTCTTTGAAATGATTTCGACCTCCTTTCTTTTTTGCTTTCATTCTATATCAATTAATTAATGTTCCTCATTACACCGTGTTATTAAATGCAACGACTATAATATCGCATACAATTCAGTAACATTCAACATCTTATTGATTTAAAGAAATGATAACTTAAAAGAAACTGAATCTTAAAAAGTTTTTGAAGTTATTTTGTATTATTGATTTTCATGATTTTAAAATTCACGTTAATGTACTCTCTGTGCTTATTTCTCTTCGTTCCTTGCGAGAAAAATAATGAGAAATACAGAAAGGAAGACAGAGACACCGGCTGGGAAAGAGATCTCGAGTGTCACTTGTTTTAAAGTGTAAAGTGGATCTGCGTACTTGTTTAGTACCGGATAAGAGACGCGGGAAAGGGAAAAGAATAGAAGATTCTTCCGTCCTATTTCCTTCGACAAACGGACTATTCAAGCACTTTTTTTCTCACCAAAGTAAGTCTAAAATCCTGTGTACGTTTCTACAATAAATCACTTCTTTTTTTACGCCGTTTCATTTCGTCTAATGCGTTGCTTTCGTACAATTAGTTACATTAATATATCAATGAACATACTTACAAAATTTTTTAAATTACGGAACGTTTTTAAATTAACGAAACTCCGTCTTGTAAATTTTACACTAATAAGTGAATCTGTAAAAAAGTTCACTAGAGGGTGTTCATAAAGTCTCTATCTATATTTACGAAGCAACTAAAAATTATACAGAATTCAATTATAAACTGTGAAGTGTTAATTTCAATATTATAAGTTTAACTTAAAATCTCAAAACCTCGTAATAATGGAAAATATAAAAAAACAACGATACACAATTCTCTAACCCGTTTGAAAGGAAAAGGTCCCTTAATTATTTCAGAAGAAATAAATATAGACTTTATAGTACCCTGCTCTATCCATATAACATACAAACGAGTGAGTTTGTACATTTTATGTAGGTTTCAGACGTTTAACCGAATATTAATTGAATCAATAACCAGCGGATATTTATTTATCCCGGCTATACGTTCGTTAGCCTAGGTTAGCAATGAAACAAGTTACTAGTCCAGGGTTACTAAATAGCACCGCCCGACGTACCCCAGTTAACTTAAACGTATCTATGCCTGTACGGAGCTGTCTGCTAGCGTAAGTTTTTAGTCAGCTCGGTTCTCAGTTTGTGGGGCAGGGTCGTGGTTCATAGGTGTATCATGTGGTTGCGAAGGAGGGTACCGGAGGAGAAGCGAATGCAAAAGAAGAGCAAGAGGACGGTGGCTTTATCGAGCGGCGCTTGCGCCGTAGCTCTGTTCTCCGCACCGCCGCCTGTTGGCCGACAGTCATGCCCCAGACACGACGGTACAGTAGCCACCCACTTTTTCTTATTTTCTCTCGTGTCTTCTTATTGCCACTCGAGATTTTTTGTACCATTTAATAAACCACTCATTCATAAAGTCCCCTCTAACGTGAAACGCGTAACATCGAAGTCCTCGTGTCGTTGCTCGGTCATGAAAAAAAAGAAACCAGCAAGTAGAAACTCATTTAAAGTTTATAATTACGCGTGTCTCTGTATATTTACCCACCGGCGGGCTCGTTAACACTTTCCATATATGTATTCGGCTGGAGATCAGACACTCTGGCAGTTTGACCACTCTGTTCACTTGGAGCCCCCGTTTGAATTATTTTGGGAAGGAAAAAGCTCACAAAAACCACTGTCGATCGAACAAGGTTTCCGCGTTACATGATGCGGTGTCCCTTCCTCGTGAATCCTTTACCTGCCTTTACCTCGATGCCGTCTCTTCGGGGGATGGCTTTCGTTATTCAACGAGTTTCACTGCCTCCCTCCCCCCAACCGTGCACGCCTTACTTTCCCCCACCGCGTGTCCCACACAAACCCCTTCCCGCCCCCACCACTAGCGACCGTTCTCCCACTTGGTGTGTGGCAAGTGCCCCTAGATTCTGGCAACGCTCCTTGCTACCGAGACAACGGGACAGTTTTCATACGGCGCACCCTCCCTACCGATCCAGTCGAAACGTATGCACCGATAACCGAGGACAGTGGTGCGTAACGCGCGCGACTCGCGTACACCCGTAACCGCCTACGGTCGCTGCGTGTGTGCGTGCGCGGTATACACCGTGTTAATTGGAAAGAAAAAAGGTGCTTTGAACGTGAGAAAGTGTCGACAGGTAGTGGGACCACCTTCGATCGAATCGGTCGGCCCCCTCCGCCCCCCCTGCACAAATCATCCTAACCGTCGATGCATCTCTCATGCACACCTTCCGTTGTTTTCTCGCCTCACTTCCGCTCGAACACCGACGATCACCCCTGGAAAATTCTACGGGGAACCATAGATCTTAATTTTTCGAACACCGTAACCCCGTGATGGGAACTGGAGAATGTAAATACAGCGACTCGGTCCTCATGTGTGTGTGTGTGTTTTATGCGGTATTCTCGAGTCATCTAAATGCACACACTCGATGCATCCGGAACGACGTTACGAATTTTTGTTTGAAAAATTTAACACACGACCTTGGTTGTGTGTCGTTCAGGGACAAACAGTACACACACGTGTCTAGTTTGTCAATGGTAAATGGAAAGTTTCTGGCCGAAGTTGTAGGACGATCCACGGCCATGAAAGAAATATACTTTGGTTTTCGTACCGTGAAATGGAATTATTTAATATACGCCTGCTTTCGAGTATAATATATTTAAGAAGTGGTGGCCTTGAATGTTATTCGACAAGTTGCACGTATCGTTCCAAACGCACTGCACATCGTTTCCCACGGTGGACGGTAATTGCTGGCGCTAACCGAAGAATATAAGAAATCTCGAGGGTGGTTTGAATGTGACACCGAATCCTGTTGGTACATTTCTAATGTTTTATGTATGTGGGAATGGCTTTCCTGGCAGTTACAGGAAAGCATTGTCCACTGTCAATACGAGTCTACCGACAGCTTTTTTTTTTATTTCAAGTCGTCGTAAGTGAACGGTGGGCGCTGCACGTGTTCGTTGCACGGGAAATTACCATTTGTTTTCTGTTAAAATTGAATGATTATGGATAATATTAAAGTTTAATTACTTCAACTTCGTATAGAACGTGACGAATATTAAAATTTTTTTCAACGAGGGAATAGGTAACGATTCTTTACACAACGAACACGTGTTCTCCTTGCTGACTTATGATTAGGCTGTGGATGGAAAGGAGAAATTTCCAATCTGGTAATTCTATTAAATTAAAAATAAATCATCTTCGTAGATTTCTTACGTTATTCTGTAATTTCCATTCTAAAATCAACCGCCTAACTGCCATGTCACGTACAGTAGGCTACACAAGTATTCATACACCCATATTAATAAAAAATAAGTGTTAACAAAAGCTGTTGATATTCATCCACACGCAGGTTTACTAAACTACATCCATTCTGAATTTATCTGTTACAAAGATCGAAACGTAAGACCTACATTGACGTGGTTTACTAATTTATTCTCATGAAACTAGCCAATAACGCAACGCAAAAGTATACATACAATGTAGCTTTCGGGGAAATAACTACCTAGTTAATCAAATCTGTGTGTAGGTGAATATAAGCAGCTATTATTAATATTTATTTATGATTTCTGTGGGTGTATGAATATTTTTGCTGCCTACTGTGTGTCTGACACATGTTTCAGTTTAAAATTAGTAAATCATTACAGTAAAATATTTACTGAACCAAATTTGATCGAGGACCACATAAGATTGAAAAATGAGGACTGTAACGTATATTGGCCTGTACAGTCTTCGTGTTTCTTTAACCCTCCGTTGTCCACACCTTCTTTGTCAAATATAGTTGTCATACTGGGTCAATTTGACCCAAGTCAATATTCAATCAGCTGCTATTTAAAAACTACTCGTTAATTTACGCCGCAAAAAATTCGGCGATAAAGTGTAAACATCGTAAATTATATTTTTATAGTTAAAAATTAACATCGAAAGTTATATCATGTTTAAAAAAATTTGTGAAAAAAAAATGTTTGAAAAAAGTTTTTTTAGACAGACCTGAAATTACTACTGCATGGTGTCAGTAGTACCATTTTCAACGATTCAAAAATATTTTACTTCAGTCTTACGGTCAAAGCGTTACAAGAAGATTCGTTTCACATTCAAGAATTTTAAAGAAAAATCCCGCGATATTTCGACGAACATAAACAATTCGTTCAACCGGGGGACAGAATTTCATTCTTACTCGGTCTTGACTTCTTTTCCTTATTACATAAATATTCCTTGAGCCATGAGTTGTCTCGTCGGATTTGATTTTTGGCAGGATCGCCACACGCAAGACTGGCTTCGATTTTCCATTTGGCGACGGTCCAACTAATACGTTGAAACCAAAGACGCGAAAAGTTTTTAATTTATCGCCGCGGGGGCGGGTGGTAACAATTCAGGCCGCATTTCGTTTCTTCGTTTGTAGACCAACGACAGCTTTCTACCTCTCTCTCTTTCTCCCGCGACGACGATGGATATGCATCGTGTGCATTTAAAATGTCAGTAGGAAAATCGGCCGTGGCGGAGATAAAGATTATCATCACCGGGGGGCGCGCTATTTTTTCCTCCGTCCCATTTCCGCGAACAATTTCGTCCCTGAAAACGAATTACGGAAAAAAGGCAACAATAACAACGTTCACGGACGATCCAACCGAACGATAAACGGCATTAATAATTTCACCGCGAAACACGCCGCGACTTTACGACATCTCTTCAATATTTAATTCCACGCGATTACCTGGCTCGAGATGGTTGTTTATCGCGATTAAAAAAAGGGGGAAAAAATTGTAAAAAGTTCGCCGGAGACCGTCCGTTTGCGGTGCAACCTGCCGGAATAAATGCGTCGTAAAGGCTGTGCGTGTACAATCCCGTCCGTAAGTATCGGATTCGTTCGGAAAGTTTTTTTTTATATATTGTTACTGTACAATTTGTCCATTGGACATTAGATAAATTCTTGTATGGGTTGCATAGTACGTGGGTGGCATTTTGTGTGCTTCGTAAAAATTATATTTATCCAGCGAATTTTTTGTTATTATCCGGAATTATCTTTGAATTGTTTCGTCGAATGTCTTAATGGTGGCTTTTTCGAGCTTTTTTGAGTCCCTATGACGACACGTGAAATTGATGTCATTGATCTTTGTTAAGAAATGTTGTTCACGAAGGAATAAAATTCAGGTTATAGAGGATAAGAAAACTGTTGAGACATTGATCTGAAGTAAGATAGGGTGGACGCACCGGTAGGTAAATGAACACGTACAAATTAATGAGCATTATTTATATATAAAAGCGAGTAAATTAAATTATTAAAATAAGTAAATGATTAAATATTGATTTTTTTTAATTCCTTGTTGCATATTCAATTTTCCCGTCATTGATTAGAAATGTTCATTTACCGATGAAGTCTGTATTTTTTCTTTTGAATTTAATTAACTACACTATTCCAACTTTTTAAATTAAAATCTATACTTACACAAAGGTATAGATATTATAGATTTTTCTTAGTATTAGATACATCTTCATGTGTCAAATATTTATCAATATTATCATTTAAAATTTCACTTTAATAGTTACCAAATTTCTTAAGCATTCATTAGTACGTTTACCCTATTAAATGAAAGACATTCACTTAAGTCCTATAAAATGCACAAACGTTAAGTAAACAACTAGTGCAACATTCATTTGATTTCACAGAATAGTTACAGTGTTCGTAATGTAAATGTAAATCGATCTCCAGTTCCACGAACGGAAATATCGAAACTCGTGGTCGTAACGGACAATTTCCATAGACTGCCAATTGTACTTATGGGCGTTACTGTACGCGTGTATCGGTCCCCGAGGACGGATGCGTGCAAACCGACATGCTATGACACACTTGAAAACAGTTTCGTGACAGGTCCGTCTAATCTCCGATCGCGTCACATAAGATTTATACCGCGACCCAACGTTTTATCATTTTCCCCCTTGCGTTTTCATAAATAGCGTATGATTGCCGGGAGAACGATCAAAATGTGTAAAGACCGCGACACCAACCGAACTCCTGTATTCTACTAGTTTTTTTTTTCATTTATAATCGAGGATCATGAATGTGAAACTGAACCGACGATTAATTCCAAGTCGGTATCAGTGATCGAGAGTTTCTGGAGGGAGAAAACAGAGTGGAGATATACCTATGTATAGACACGTTGGATGCACCAGTTGATTATATTATGATAACAGAAGGATATTCGGGGGGAGGTATGGAACGTGGCGCATTATGGAAAGGATGATCGATTTTGGAGGTTATAATTAACGATCGAGAGTGAATCTGGGACTCTGAAGTCGCGACATCGGGGAGAAAGCATCTTTTCGAAGATGATGCAGAGGGTGGGACGCGACGATTGTGGGAACCAGACGAACTGTTGCCCAACAACAAGACCATCGGGGAGCGAGCTCGAGAGACGGAAGATAAGAGGTGATCGAGAAATCGTTCCAAGTGCGACGAGCGATTAGACTACTGATAATTTTTATCGTGGATCTACGATTCTCCTTCTTGCCCCGAGGGAATTGCCTATAGCTGAGCTGGCGCCATGGGGAATGGTATGAATAAGGTAAGACGAACGCTTATAGCCCAGGGGTCAATCTTTAACCCTTGCGCGCACCGTTCTCGAATCAATTTCTCCCCCAAACTTTGTATTCCCATTATGCATTTCATTATAGAGAATTCTGAATTCATTTTGTATCGATCGTTAATATTAATTTGACGAAGGGTGAAGTAACATATAACGTAAGTAACATTGTTCGACAAAATTTTGTTGATTTGAACTTTGAAAATTTTTAAATGTTGGAGTGAACTGGTTTTGTTTACTTGATTTTTAATTGCTAAATAAAAAGGTGATCTCACTATTGGTCCCAGACATAAGATTCTTTTTAGTTTAATTGTCAATATGGAGCTGTAAAAAACATGGTGATTCTACATGCCGAAATAAATAGAGAAAAAAAAACAAGATTTTTTCACTTAAGGCTCCGTTTACGAGATAATCGAATTTGAATGCCTGCTGGGTACACATGCAATTGAATAGGATTTGGCTGTCGCGTCTGTTCATTGCGTTCCTTTTCTACTTACTACCATAAGCGAATACACGCGCTTTAGATTAATGAATCAAACTGAAATGTTTGATCATCTATGCTAACTTGATATTTTCAACGTTAGACTACGTAATGTGTAAAGGAAAAACTAAAATCAGCATCCTGTTCAGTAATCTTTAATTAACACCAAAAAATCAGGTTTCGTTCTATCATTTTGGGACTTGTTGAACAGTGTAATTAATACTTGATATATTTTTTCCCACCCCGTACGAAAACTGGGTCGTTTATGTTCAAATATAATTTTTTTATTATTTTAAGCTATCTAAAATTCTGACAAAACTTCTAGGATGCTTAACAAAGCTTCTACTACATTATACATCCATTCGTTACGCCAACTGCTTAAAACTTTTTTCGGTAATAATAGAAATTCGTAGTAAAGTCCGGGAAAAATGGGAATTCGCTTGGGATTGCCAATGACCCACATTGCGTACAGAGGGTTAAGGTTCTCGTTTTCAAAAGCTAATCCGTGTATATTGCCATTCAAAGTCTGGAACGCCAAAATGAAACACCTTTTTGAAAATATGTAACCACTTGACTAGAGATGAGCGAATATAAAAAAAAATGAAATATAAAAAAAAGTATTATGTCATTTTTTATTGATTAAACGAAATTCCAATTTTTGTAATAAAATGATATTTTTTCTTAAACGAGTAGACACTTGGCAAACAATTATTTAATCTCATTACTTGTCTAAGACCAGGATAACGTTTTAGATATTGCTCCTTTTTACAAAGTATTATTTGAATAAAATTGTGCCCAACTCAGCTATTTGATTCTGTTATTCTAATAAAAAAAATATATTTTTCAATTGTTACAAAAATTTCAATTTTTATAGAAAAGGTATTTTATTTTTTTACATGACCAGTATTATACTTATCGTTCCGAAAAAGTGATGATTTCCTCATGACGAGTATATTCGTCAAACACTGTTAAAGGGTTAGATGTTAGAGGATACGATCGAGTGGAAGGAATTAAAATAAATCCTGTAATAACAATGTAACTTTTCATAAAATCAAAAAAACGATAAAGGGTTAAATAACTATCTAAGCCATCGAATAACGAACATTCATCAATAAATTTGAATAAATACAGTATAAGCCTGAAAAAAGTAGACTAATTTATCGGGGCCCTTTGTTGCTCATCACTAGACTGCGGATTTTAAGCATTTATAGCAGGAGTGAATGTATAGAACTGAATAAAACAGATACTTTAATAATATTTAGTAAATGTATTAATTTATTTCCATCGTAATGAAACCATTCATGAAAAAAAGTCAATCTCTGCTAATGTCTAGTTTTCCGAAATTGATCTACAAAAGTTTGAATCCGCCTAAACATCCGCAGTCCACTTATCACACGTGCGGGCTCCAGTGTTCCCCGAATACCCTAACGGTGTGCACGTGCTTCCGCAAACAGTTCGTTTCATTATTATAAATAATGCACCTATCGCGTTGCGCTCAAATTACCCATGGCCTGAATACGAAAATTTCGTAACCTGGTCAGGGGCTCCCCCCGGTACGAAAGTAACAGAACACGTCCCGGGGATAAATAGGGAGGAGTGGGGGAGGGTTGGAGCACAACTCGTTGGCCCATTTGCCGATAGCTTTAATGGCCATTGTTCCGAAGGAATCGCGTCGATGCATATAATGGGAACCGGGTGGGGTGGTACACAACGAAGATTTTAATCGATGCCACCTGATGAAAAAGTTAAGAGGGTCCCCTCCCCCTGCGTCATTGTCAACCCCCCTGTGTTCCATTAAAGACGTGGTCCCGCGGGCTTTTAAAGAACGCGCATCGATTAAACGATTATTATCAAACATACGCGGCTCGTTCGACACGTTCGAGTGATCATCGTCATCCCCGCGCGAAGATGAATGATTAACCGGGGTGGTGAACACCTGCATCAAAAAGCTGCCTTATCGATTTCACTCAATGCTATCTCGACGACCCCTGTGTATGGAGGTATACTCGAGCACCACTAGAACGCCTCTGAACACGCTTAATTGCGAACGAGGGGAACTATCGACGCGACTTTAAAAAAACACACGAGCACGTCGGGAGTCTCCTCGAGTGCTTGCCCCATTACGAGTGAAAAATAGTGACATGTGTATGTATAACTGACTACGGTTCGCGTAAGAGGCGTCTGAACACGGTTTCGATGAGGTCTAGATGCACCGTTTACCAGGTTCACCTGTTATCGGGGGAATAATGAGCTCGTCGTTTGTATTCAAGGAAATTTTGTATCGTAATGTCTGTAAGGATATGTAATTACAGGTAATTCTCGTGTAACACGGTGGTTAGGTCGCTGAAAATTGCTGGATTATACATGGGCGTAGCCTGGAGGGTAGTACGGGCACTTGCTCTCCCTTAGAGGGGAGAAAAGCGGTCTTTGACCTACCCTAGAAAACATTGGATTTTCTTCTCCGCCTTAGAAAAGAAAGATATTGTGTTAACTAATATTTTGTATGTAAAAATAAATTTAAAGTTCATTTAAAGTAATATGAATTTACCTTAAGATACATTTTGCCCCTCCCCCCCAACTGATAATCTGGCTACGCCCATAGTGTTATGCAAATTCGTGTTACAGTAAATCATCGATGAGTGCTCGAATGAACATTAAATATTTCACAAACTATCACTGTGTTACACCTTATTAAAAAATCAGCGTTACACATGGGGACCTCACCTTGTCAGTGCCGAGGCGCCTTCGAACACTCATCGATGATTTACAGTATATAAAACTAAGAAGTAGGATGTGCAGACATACGAAAAACAGGGTTAGGTTCCGAAAACTAACAAAATTGCACAATATTCTAATTGTGTTAAAGGGAAACGGTGTTGTTGAATACCGTTTTGTGGGGGAGTTTCCTCAATTCTCTAACAGTGTCGAAGCGAAACCGTATCATGGCGATTCCGTGTTATATGTAGATTGCCTGTACATCATTCATTTCTACGCCAAATTATTTACGTGCCTTTATCACGTTCACCTTTATGGAGTTGACAGTACATTACCGTGAACAGCAATGTGGGGCGTAGAATCCTATATCATCCTCGTTGAGCTATTACATTCGAGAAGTTTGAAAACTTGTACAAGACTATAGTTACTCGACATACAGTGGGTAAAAAAAGTATTCGTATACACTTTAAAATTTTCATTACAGTCTCAAACAAAAAAATTGTAGAAAACGAGATTCACTATTTTCTTTGACATTCTGAAAAGTCGCAAATTTTTCAAAATTTGGTAACATCATTTATTACACTAATCCTTCTAAATTCACAAAGAAACTCAAGTCACTTGGTCCAATTTTGAAATAGTTGTTCTGTTTTAAAGGGTGTACGAATACTTTTTTTACCCACTGTATATCATTGTTCCTCGCGATCTAATTTAGAATTTGTTTATACAAAGATGTACGGTAAGTTTGATGTGTGTATAGGTCCTACCCGGCCTGTACGTTGGGAATTACCACGATAGCAAGGACCCCGTCCAATTGGAACGCTTCGAGATCACCCATATCCTAGCGATCCACGATACCGCCCGTCGACTGCACTCGGTAAGCACGCGTTGGAAGAACAACTTTACTACTGGATTAGTAAAAAGAAAGAAAATTTTTATCGTTTGTTATTGTAGGACAAGCATTATTTGTGTATATTGGCGGCGGACAGTCCGGATCAGAATTTGACACAATACTTTTCCGTGTGCAATGACTTTATTCACTCCGCCCGTTTAAGGGGTGGAAACGTCCTTATACACTGGTGTGTATGTTCCTTCCAACATATAAGTATTTAGAACAGCAGTTGACACGCTGATCGCGGCGGTAATCGATTCGTAGCCGGTGCAGAACTCCCCAGCTGACGCGGTTGCATTATTTACAATACTATCCAATCTCGTCGTTGCTACACAGAGGGTCCAATACCGTGTAGATACGCTACAGTAAGACCTCGCTTATGCAAACTAGTGAAAATGAAAAATCATTATTTATTAAATAATATTTACATGTACACTATACAGTAAGACCCGATTATGCAAACCAGTGAAAACAAAATTATTATTATTTTAAAAAAAGCATTATTTACTATATAGGGTGTCCCATTTAAATCGGCCCACTCGAATATCTCTGAAACTGTTGACAATATTAAAAAATGTTCCAGACAAAAGTTAAATGGTATCAGGGGACAGACTTTTTGATGTAACTTTTTTTGTGTAGAGGCGTAAAAGTCATATGAAAATCAACTTTGTTTTGTTAAATGGAATCGTATAATTTTTAATGCATTACTTGATGCTATTCCCTATCCATATTCCCTACATAAAGTACTGAATCATCAATGGCAAAAAAGCATTATAGAGTTGCATCAAGTAGTGCATTACAAAATATACGATTCCATTTAAAAAAAACGAAATTGACTTTCATATGACCTCTACGTCTCTACATACAAAAAGTTACAGATAGAAAAAATTGGATTTAAATGGGACACCTTGTATAATATTCATTTGCATGGTACAGTAAGACCTTGATTATCAAAATTAGTGAAAACAAAAAATCACTGTTTATTGTACAATATTCGCATGTGAAGATAGTGTTAACAAAAATCTATTTGAAGTGTGTTTCTGCCATGCATAGAAGTTCGGATAATGGAACGCTAGATTAAGCGATATTCGGATATGTAAATGGTGTCTCAATAATCGAGGATCTACTGTACCTACCGTCCATAAGTACTTGGACCTTTGATGGAATTCGATCAAAAGAATTTTTCATACAGTCTAAATAGAATCAACACCAATCAATGTTATTGACATTATAGACGAACTAAGATATATTACTTCCAATTTTTATAAATTGTTTTTCAACCGATACATACCCCACAAGGCCTCTCTTTATCGTTGTTGCTTCGATAAGATCTAATCTATCTTCCTCAATGTCTTCTAGTAATTATTATAACGTGACTATGATTCACGAATAAAATTAGAAATACTGGATTTGATCGGAATAATCTATTTTCAAAGTGTTTTTGGATCCAGTGCCGTACTCGGGGATAAACAGAAATGTTTATCTCGCTGTGGTCAGCGTGTTAAGCAATGTAAATCGGTAGTTCATGATTCATTGTAGCCTGAATGACCAGTTAACAGTCTAATTCCCATCCCAAACTCGTTCACGAAACGATACATCCGATTTCAGCTTAGCCGGTATGTCGAGAAGCGTCACAGTAGCAGTAGCCTATATCATGAGTACCACCAATCTGTCATGGAAAGAGGCACTCAAAGTTGTCAGAGTGAGTCGTTCCATTGCCAATCCAAACGTCGGGTTCCAGCAACAGCTTAAGGATTTCGAATCCAGCCGACTTCACGAGGTATGCAAATAATAATGCTTGACTCCGAATCCGTCCGTATCCGCGGCAATCCTCTTCAAGCCGAAAGACCATTTTATTACAATATTTCTTTCGCTATTCATAATTCATTCCATAAATATTTACGACGGGAGATCGTCACTGGAAAATCGTATGCAGAAAATTTATGCCACAAATCTATGTGATTAGAAGTACCTTTGATTTCCAGTTCACTTCGAGTTAGGGACTGGATATTTTTAAAAATTCCCTTCTTCTATTTCGATGCAGTAACTTAGGACTGTGCATCGTCCTGTGCAAGAACTTTATGTGTATTTGAATTGTAAGTCTTCTTTGTCTAGTTACCAGTAATAGTTGGTAATTCTCTAAACACCACAATTTCTTCACATTTTTTTTTTCTTAAATTCAGAGAAGTTTTCAACCCATGGATTACGATGACAAGGTCCTTTTGCACCCAAGTGTTTAAAACCGCATCTAACTTATCGATTTGTAAATTTAATTTAAACTAGTAGTTGTTCATATTTAGTCACGTAAAAAATCAGGTGTTTTTTAATGATCACGATTGAAAGTATACCTAACTCTTTTTTTACACGATTTTGAAATAACACGGTCGAAGAAAAAACCTCATACCTTTTTTTTTTTACACGGTTTATTTCCTTTATCATGTTGCAAGAAAAAAATCATCTTTGGTTTTTTTCATTCCCCCGGACACGGTTTAAAAATTATTGAAACTTGCAAAACCAAAAGAGCAAAAGAAGATTTTTTTTTTAAAACGTATCGTCCGTGTAAAAAAAGTCTAGTGTATGTTTAAAAAGAAGTAAGCATAGGATTTCAAACGGACCCAGACACAACTGTCTCTACGATACGTTAGTAAATGGCACAATTAGGTCGGGAAATATTAAAGGATCATAGTAGAAGTACAAAGACTTGAAGACTATTGGAGAGTTAAATGAAGGATTCGTAACTGAAGAGCTGATCAGATAATAATGACTTTTATCGATTGTGCCATCCTCAAATGCAGGCTCGCGACCGAACCGGTGAACTTACGAGATTCTTTTTAATTGATGCAGGAACGACGCAGGTTGAAGGAACGGTTTCCAAGTCTGGCGCTCGCCGAGGCTGACGCAGAAGTGTGCCGTACCACTTTAAGAAATTACGAAACCATGGCACTGGCGCGGGAAGTGTGCGAAGGGAAATGTGCCATGGGCCGTCCTTGTCCGACTGGACTTTGCAGGCAGCCTTCCAAAAGGTTCGTTACTTTTTCGTACAGTTGTGACTAATTCCAGACCACTTTCAGATATAAGACGACCAGACATAGACACACACACAGACACATACACGCTGTCTTGACTTCTCGGTTATTTTTGTCTTCGGAAGTGTTTCACCCTTTATCGGCCGTCACACAGACACAGACACGCTGTCTTGACTTCTCGGTTATTTTTGTCTTCGGAAGTGTTTCACCCTTTATCGGCCGTCCGAAGCAACTCTGTTATATGTTCCAGTTCGTAGCGATCCGCTTCCTTCTGGTTCCATGAGAATCAATAAGCATTTGTTAATAAGCCGCTAACGAATACACATCTATGAAAGTTTAAAGCCAGCAAACGGAGGGAAAAACAATCGTCGAAGGTATTAACGAAAAGAGTTATTTCTTATTTAGTTCACTATTTATTGGGTCGTTGTAAAAGATTCCGTATTTGTCACGGTTTACCATAGTGTAAACACGACGAATCTTTTGCGTCAGCTTAATATTCAGTTAACGGATATCGGCCATAAAGGGTGAACGTGTCGAAAGAATCGTCGAAATGAGAAAATTTGTAAAGTTGATACCGTTTGGTTTACCGGATAGCAGGAGTCCAAGAAGAAAACAATCCACGGGAAGCACCAGCAGTTTGACGACAGGAAGAACACCGCCGCAAACACCGAGAATGCTACCATCCGCGCCCCCATCGCCAGCCATGCACAGATCGAGTAGCGTGATGTCTGCGACTAGCAGACCAAGAAGCGGCCCTGCTGGGTTACATTATTATACCGGTTCTGCACCCCCATCCAGGTAACATTATATACATTCGACTCTTTTTTTACACGGAAGATACGTTCCTGAAAGAATCGTGTAAAAAGAAAACCGTTTCCTATAGTACAATGGGAGATACGTTGCAACTTATTAAAAGACCGTGTAAGATGAAATGAAAAAACTCTATTTCATTCGAAAAATCGCATAAAAAAGTGACGAAAATTTATATGTAAATACATTTAAATATTTGACAACAAAATAAAATTTGTACACATTTCAATTATACATATTCGAACTAAAATAAAATTATTACCACATGAATATTGCAAAAAGAAGAATTAAACATTTGCAATAAAAATACTAGAAATAATATAAGATATTTATTATTTAAGATAAGATTATTCGTCACTATTTAATAATAATCAATATGCTTACGGCCAGGTGAATCAAAATCGCTATCCTCGCTAGAGAGATCTATCACATCCGTCAAGTTTTAATCCAATAAAGGTTTCGTCTGGTTATACCATTTTGAATAGATTGACTGCTTTCCGAAAGTTCTTACAGTATTGACCTTTTTGTCAAAAAATCTTCTTTTGATCTTTTGGTTTTGCAAGTTCCAATAATTTTTAAAGCGTGTCAGAGTAATAACACGTATAAAAAAACAAAGTCGGTTTTTTTCCTGTACCGTGGTAAAGGAAATAAACCGTGTGAAAAGATAGAAGGCGGTTTTTTTCTTCGACCGTCTTACTTCAAAATCGTGTAAAGAAAGAGTGAGGTGTTCATACCTTCTACTAAAGGCTTCTTTCAAAAAATTTGTCTTAACAGTAACTAAATAAATAAAAAAAGAAATTTGTAACAATTTCATTACACTGAACATTTGAAAAACTAGGGTTGTAAATCAAGGATTAGAAATAATAGAAGCTTTCGATTTTTTATATATTTCAAGTATATAAATTCAATATAAATTCAATAATTTAAGTATTTGGTACGATTTTTTTATCAAGTTTCATGAAAAACTATATACCTACATCCGCTCCTAAAATAACTGCCAGTCAACCAGATCATTAATTTTTGTAATTGCATTCAACAGGGCAGTGTCAAGGGTGGATCTGTCCGGATCAGTGGCCTGCAGCAGTAGCAGTACGAGTCTACAATCGGTGGGCAGATCGGGCATTTCCAGCAGCAACTGGCGGCTGACCGCCGGATCAGCGCCAACAACGCCCCGGCCAACGCCGCCTGTCTCGCCTCAACGATGGCCGAGGCGTGCGTCCAGCCGGCAGACACCCCAATTGCCGATTTCCCCAGAAACATCGTCCTCGACCACGTAGCGTCTAAGGAACTTCGCTTCGTTCTCGACTCTGCCCGAGTAACCTCAATGCTCACCGTACGAGAACGTAGCGTCTGATGAGCTTTGCTTTGTCCCCGGCGATTCGTCCCGGGATATCAATCAGTTGGAACACTGATTTCACCTCACGTCGAACGACTCAACCGTTGGCTACTAAACGGCGAAGGTCTCAACGACACGAATGCAAGCTTCATTGCAATTTCGTTCCAACAACGTCTGCGCAAGAATTGGAAGCTATCGACGGTAGAAAAAGGAGCTGCCCCACGTAGATAAACGAAACGAAGCTGTGGTTAACTTAAGGCAGAAACGATCCCCCGATATGCCTGTTGTGATAGATCGAAAGCTTTATATTTAGTGAACCGCTTGGACCTGGGCTGACGGACTGTGCCATCGCGCAGACAAGATTACTAGAGTCCGTGTGATTAATTAGCGGGAAAACCGAGGATACACGTTATTTGTTATTACTGTGGATTGGAGCAACGTCTTCGATGAACGTTCAAGTGTCGACCCTGTCGTCCCCCGGGGGTTAATTTCTATTTTAAAAGAATCGACTGACGAACGAGTTACGCGAAGCTAGTCAGAGCCGGATGCCACGGGTGGTCTTAACCGAATGCTCGCCGTGGCCGCTTATCTACTAATTGTAAAACTAACGCTGGATGCAACACTGCGACGGTATCTTCTCTTTGCATTAGAGCGAACTGGGAGGAAACACACCGATGGAAATCATCCGACGCTTCAGCCAAGCAGCAATTACACGAAGGAAACTCGCGCTAGCGCGACGCACATGGGCGAAGATTTAAGATACGTTTTCACGTGACAGTAAAAGTCACGACGTTCGATGTCATGACACTGCACGACAATGTAAACCGATGTCATGACAACGCGACATCTATTTAATTTTCACGACGTCAAGAGTCATATCGTTTAGTCTCTTGGACCGTAAAAGTCACCATTTACTGTCACGTGAAAACGTACCTTTACTCTTGTAACGTTTGTCTGTCTCTTGCTTCACGGTGATAGTGATTACGTCAACGGTATAATTAATCACAAACGAAGCTCTTGGATCACCCTGTTCCAATTGGAAATAAAAAGAGCAAGATTGTAACTTTGTTAACAAGTATCGAGAATGGGAAAACGTTATTACTTAAAATTAAATTTAACCTTTCCAGCGCTACGAATCCATATCTGGACCCCAGAGCCAGAGTGTATTAAGTCCACTTTTAAAAGAAAATCACATTTTACGTTTCCTGTATCAAATATTTCACTCTTTTAATATAGGTACATGATAGTCTAAAAATGATTTTAAGTTCATATTTTTAAAACGGTGTAAAGTTCATCACATAGGGGAATTAATGCAAAGTTCACCATTTCTACATATAGAGGCTTGCCTTAAATCCATTCAATAGTTCGAATATAGCAATTGTTTCTTGCTCAATTCTTACCGAACGTTTCCAAAGTTATAAGGTTTTCGCACTTTTGATTTACTCTCCTCTAAAGTTTGAAAAGTGTGATTTAATACACTCTGGCTCTGGGGTCCAGATATACGCGTTTGGAAAAATTGTTCAGAATGTGCTGTGAATCCATTTATGTGTCCGCGTGCAACAATTGGGTGCTATGAACCCATATTGTGAAAGTGATTAAGATTAAAAATTTGAAAAACTCAAAAGTGAAAGATTATTCAGTCGAGTGCACGCTTTGTCGCGATAAGTAAGCGTGTAATACACGCTGGTCGTCGGACATCTTAGCGTTGAAAAGGTTAAATGATTTATTAGCAACTTCGATTGCTGTTTGGACACGAATTCTAGAATTTATTCGCCTCTGTGCGCGGCGTGGCCTCGAGCGCGCGTGATGCAGCAATCACCGACAATCTTGCGTGCGATTGTGACAACGTGACCGCAATCGTATATACATATATCTATCTACCTATCTATCTATCTATCTATCTCGTAACCGCGTGAACACCGAGACACACACTCGTTAATTAGCATTTTTTTAAAAGAAACAAGAGCGCACGATGAAAGTTGTTGTTTACAACAAAAAACGAAAGCCACTAATAGCGTAAAACGTATTAACGATAAAATAAAATAATCGAAGCTCGTCCAAAACACGGGTTCACCGTCTTAGCCGTGTACAAAATGGTTTACTCCGTAGAAGACTCTCGATTAGATCTTTTTTCCAACTAATAATAATCGTCCAATGGAACGTAAAGATTCGCTGTTAGAGGCTCAGAAAATCGTCGCATCTCGTGTTCCTCGAGCAAATTCTTTCGTCGGCGGATTCGGCGTTGAATAAATATCGTTCGGCTATAGTATGCCCCACCGAAAGAACATCGACGATATCTTCCACGATTATTTATCGCTAAACTGCGGATTTTCATGCAAAATTACATATTCGAAAGTGCCCGGATAACCATTTGCGTGCAGATTGGCGGCAGATCATGCAACATAATCTAGGTTGACTAACCTAGGTCAATTTATAATCTAGGTTGCAGAATTTGTCGTTAACCTGAGCGCATATTGTTTATAGCAGATCCTGCGTCAAATCTGTAGCCATTCTGGTTACAGAAGCTTATAACAGACATTGGACTAAATCTGGCTGTACACGTTTGGCTGACTGGGTGATTCATAAAGACAAGAAGTAAAAGTAGAAACTTCCTTCTTCTCTGAAGTATCTTACTGAGGTTCAGAATATGTAAAATGAAAACTCCTTACATGTAACTAAAGTTTAATCTTTCCTGGTATTTCGCACCGCCCTATAAGATATAAATGCATAAAATCCGTAGTCTATTTATCACTTTTTGAAAGTAAGAATAAAGTACTCCACATTTTGGTCCTTCCCATACCATGAAACACATACTATATCTGCAAGTAAGCGCCTCTATTACCAACAGAAGCGTTATTCTTATTCCATCGATGAGACCAGTACTGTAAATTATAATAATTTACCAACGATTTAATGTTTTCAATCGACCAACGAAATATTTATAAATAGGGTATTTACAGTACGTTTTTGTAAACTACTTCGATCTTACCGATTCTTCGTGTGTAAACCCACGAATTATAGCGACCGTTTTATTTCTGTCTCTATGGACGACAAGGATCACTGGTTTTGAGACATACGTAACATCGACCATTAGATGTTCTTTCGGTGGATAGATACATAACGTCACGCTTGTAAGTACACGAGCATCACGCAAACCGTCGTAATTCAAAATGGCGTCCGACTTCAGGTACCGATGCACCGCCGTTGTCTGTTCGCGCTGCAATCGAGCGCCGACGAACCGCTTCAAATCATCCTGTACGTTTGTTCATTCCAGAACGGAATCCAGAACCATTTGTGTTCTGGATTTTCAGACGAGCCATTCGCGCTGGACGTATGGCAAACGGTTTGAAAAATGTCTTGGCCTCCTTGAAAATGTCTTCAGCTACTTGATGAAGGGATACGAGACGAACAAAGGAGAACGCGCACGCGTCGTTGTTCCTCGAATCGTTCCATTGAGTTTGTTCGCAAACCGTCCATTGCAAATTGTTGGATTTGTAGCAAAACCACGCTGTTTAGCGCAAGTTGTTAACCCAGAGGAAAGCATATATATACTAAACATATATGCATATACATAACTCGAAGCGTGTACGGTGACAAATGTGTTTCATGCACGCAGAGTATGGGACAGCCCCGAAGTACCGATCGAATAATTGATAACGCCCCAAGCCACTTTAACCCCACACCGCCAATCTAGCTAATAATTCGATTTTGTGTATTCATGTACCTATATGTACACGGAGGATCGATCGCTTCGTTAAGTTTCGAATGGCACAGAAATGAATAGGTACAGACGTGGTTGATTAATGATGCTCAAATACGAAGTTACAGAAAATATAGTAACGTTTAAACGTGTGTGTATATATTCTCTCGTCACACGAAATGTCGCTTGGTTTATTGATTGAACGAGAAAAGGAGAATTCAAAGTGTAGAACAAGAAGAAGAGGTAGACGTGCCGCTTATGTATACAATTTATAATGTTTAAGTACTATTATTACTTAAATTCGCGTGTATTCGTACGATTAATCAATTTTATATACTTTACTAGCCTACCATTGTTCAGTTTGTATATAAGATGAATGTGAGCATTCGCCACTTTTAGGGGTACCCTAGCAAAACACAAACAAACGGGGCCGGTTTGTTTGCCAAAGTGATGAACATCACGGAAATTATCAAGGAAATTTATTTTAAATATAAAAATCTTAGCACCCTGTCAAGTGTTTTGGCAATGAAATTTGACAAAATTTTAAAAGTGGAAATTGTCACTTTGATCTTTGAACGACTCGAGAATATCGGTCACAGTTACGGAAACATGAATCATTCTCTTCGCGTATAGTACTCAATCGACCCATACAGAGGTCACGTAACGTGAGAATGTTGTGAATAAAAAAAAAAAAGGAATGTAAAATATGACGATCTGTTTAAAAGGGTCTCTGCAGTCGCATGAAACACGTTTATTGCCCTTACACCATTGTATGCGTACACAGCCGGTAGGCATACGTTGTTACAAAAAGGATTTCAGAAAATTTTATAAATTGTTGGCAAATGGTGATTATTATGCGACCACGTCGTACATTTACCTACATAGACAACGTTGTTAATACACTTCTTTCGTGCACCGACGTACGATTCACCGACGAGCGAGAGGCAAGGTGTTTTGTGAGCGGATCATCAGAAAAAATTCATCCCTCTCCCTACCTCCATCCCTCGTCAACGCGTATTTTCCCCGATCCGTGTGGATAGAATCGTTTATTTTTCTAGAATCATTCTATCGATCATCTTAGTCCGATAAGAATTAATATCAATTAAATTGGATAGAACGCTGAACGTGCTGTCGAAGGTGTGCAAGAAAGAAAAAGGGGGCGCGCTCGTTTCATTCGATTATTTAGCGTTACTCAATCCAGACGGTGATTTTAACAAGTTCACCGGAATATATCACTGTTCGTTGTTAAAATCACCTTCTTCTATATAAAGCTGTATTCTTTTGAATAGGCTGATATCAAATGCAGTCCAACGAAATCGATGAAATCTATTTATCGAATTGAACTCTTTTCTTTTCGTTGTTATTGCTGCTGGTAACGCGAAATACGCCATTAATCGAGCAACAAAAGTGTGTTTTTTTTTACCAGCGCAAAATTCGAGTTAACGACCGACAATAATTTTCATCGATCTCGGTGGCGCCCAGTTATCGTTTCGGTCCGCTCAAGATGGTACAGCGGTGATAATGTTAAATATTCACAAAATATTTTTTATAAACTTATTGTTTTCAAGGTTTGCTCGATATCGACATATCGCTGGTGTGTTATTTGAAGATATATTTAAATATACACAGGTACACAGAGAGAACGCGTGACTATTTAAATGGGAGGAAATATCTAGTTAAGAGAATTCTACGTAATATGAAATAACAATGCAATTTTTCGTTCAGTTTTCACGTCATAGACATTCACGGCAAAATGTAATTTGTTGCATTAATCTCTTACTGCTTGGTGACTTTGCTTTTCTAATATAAAACAAAATCAATGGGTTGGAATAGACATTTTCAAATAATTTTTGCTTATAAAACAATTCACTCAAAGTGAATGTTTTCTGTTAACATTCGATAGTTCTCCAGCCATAACGACGTATAAACGCAATAAAAAATCGCAAAACATGTAAATAAAACGAAGTTGCCACATGGGAAAAATCGCACAGCCTGCCTGGGATACTTAATATCATCCAATATTTGTCGACGATATTAGTTGAAAAATAAAATTAAAAAATTGCTATGCTATACATGGTCGTACGTAGTAAGAGACTAATACAATATTTAAGATTCAATGGATTCGTAGAACATCTCACATTTCCTATCAAATGCTTTTACGCTACTCAATTTTGATTTGCAATTGTGAAAATAAAATGCGTTATAAAGAAACCACAAAAAAAAAGAAAACACGAAACAAAAAACCGTCTTCTAAAATAAGCAGTGGTTCGATTCACTCTTAATAGGGTAACTTTCGAAACGAATTTAAGTTACTGTTTCATTTCTCCGGAGATGAAACTATGTAAATGATATAATCCAGAAAGTTTTCGGTTTTTTTTTATGAAACATTAAACACGGGATCAAAGCTGATGTACGCAAATGTGAGAGATATTCGATTGTATCTTAACTTCAATTAAAACCTGTAAAACATGCACAATATGCTGTTACTTGGTTTAAAATAAATTTTAAAGAATTCCCGAGCTATGATCAAGTCATTTACCGACATATTTTAAGAACTCGATCACTGACGCTATGCTTATGAAATTTTTGTTATTTAATGGTTTAATGTTGTTCAATCCTTTTTGTTTCATGAAAGTACACTCTACTTTTTTATTCAATGTCTGTTTCAAGTGTATCGAATATCTCAAGGGCTTTCAATAGACTCTAAGAACCGTTGGAAACATGTAACTCGTCTCTCATGATTTACAAAATACAACATGGAAAGTTTTGGTATCTGTAATACTTTAATAAAAATTGTGGCGCTTCGTAAAATAAAGTATTGCAATGCTTTTTTATTTCTGTAGAGAAAATCACTTTACCTAAGAAACAACACCAATTAAAAAACGTAAATTACAGTCGGCAACCAATAAGGAAACCCAAATGAGTAATACTAGTTTGAAGGCTTACGAGTACCGTTTTTAAAATTATGTAACGTTTAGGAAGCCATTTTGAATGCTTCAAAAACGCATTTGAATTGAAAATATGTACATACGTATTTCACGAAAAAATTCTCGTTCGATCTTAGCAGAATAAATCACGGAATCGCGATCATACTTACGATTAGAAATAATATAAACACGATAAAATAAAAATATGCAATGCAGCGTTACCTATTTGTTATAATAAATTATCAGAATTCATAAATCTCACGCCGAATTGCGTCGGAAGGCACAGTCAACTGTCATGGCGTTGATGGCGCGTTCTTTTCAGTTAGAATTGTGAAACAAAAAATAAATGTTAATTCCAAGTTATTCCATTGAACTAAGAATGGTTACGTCACAAATAAACAATTACTGACTCGATGGGTATCATTAAAAATTGCAATTTGAACAAAAACTGCGTAAATACTAATTGGTATCGGAAGAAAACGCGAGTCGTGAAGACCGGTTCACTTTGTCCTGCAATGTCGAATTAATTTACGATTATTTAATCTAAATAGGATGAATATTATAGGAAAGTAACGAAAGAGAGCTAATGAAGGCACTAATAGCTAGTATACATAATTAGAGGTAAAATCAGGTATTTCGTCACAAGCACTTGCACTTCACGTCTTATCACTACGGTATCTACGAGACGAATGACCCTTCGGCTACATTCAACAGGCCACGATCGGTTGAGTCGGATATCTTCGAGAGATCACGATTGGTCGATCGTAGGGTAAGTCCCTTATTCCCACTGCAATTTATATTTCAACGAAATAGGTTAAATCTCTAAACTATGGTCAAATCTCTCCGAGTATTAAACAATTGAAAGAAGAGTCTATTTTCACAGTTTTTAGTCTTTTGCAACTTAACGTAATGGACCGATTTTACCGTACTGTATTTCATTTTGTAGATGTATTTTTAATACCGACATTTTGCATTTGAACTCTTTTGTTCTATAATCATTACCATTTGAGAAACCAATTTATAAAAGCATAAATGCTGTTTACATGACTAATACCACGGAAATAAATGTTCAAAATCCCCAGTCGATTGATAAAATATTTATTTAAAAAAGGTATCAAAACGTGTTCATATTTTTATTTGACGATGATAATCATCAGATGGCGCGATGAAAACGTTATTCGGGTATAAAAGTTTCCCACCTTTAAATGGTTTCTCTTGCGGAATAACTCGAAATAAATCGGAATCAAAACATTTCCTGACATTTCCCGAATCTATTGTAAAAGTGAATGTCATCACAGCTGTGACAATCCGTGGTTCTGTATAATTTAAACGCAACGGTTTACTCTTCATTAAGGATATTAATGATGGTAACTGGAAGTGAAAGATAAATTTTACCTGCTGATCAACAGTGTGTCACTTCGTAAGATTCTTGTTAATTGATCATGGGGGTCGTATAAAATGTTACCGAGTATTTAACAATAATGAACGCAATGAAAAATTCATTTGTAACGATGCACAATAAGTATTATTCCATGGGATGAGTTCCTCTCCTATTTCGGTGACTCTCTGCGTTATTCGCGTCGAGATCGTTGACGAGAATTCTGAGGAATCGAATGGTAAACACTTTTTCATCCTCCCCCTTGGAGTAACAACTTTCAGTTTTTTCTTCACGGTCCTAGTACTTTCGTGACGAATTATTTCAATAAATCAGTTTGTTTACACCACTCTTTAAGGTTAGGTACCTTGTCATAACAGTGTTGTTTTCACTACATTGTCCTCCTTTGTAATTAGAGTGAAGATAAGATATTGTTTGTATAAAGTTTTAATTGTTACCTTTATCTTCTCATTCTGTATTGATAAGCAGATGTTAAATAGGCATTAGATCACTACTTAAAGATATATCCAATATCATTGTTTGCAATATACCTATGATATCTGGTAATATAAAGAACATACCTTTGTTTGCTATCACAATTAATTCACAATAGATTTCATAATCCAGGAGCAATGGCTGCAAAGATGAGGGGTCGCAGAGAACCAACCAAGATAAATATGGAGAACTGCACAAATCTTACAGAAAAGCCGGACTTGTTAGTTCCTTCTCAGGGAACCAGCACATCTGGCTCTACCTCTAGAGCTAATTCTGAAGAAGCTACTTATGATAATTCAGATATGGCTGGTGCAAGTGCCAGTGTCTGTGATCAAATAAACTTCATCTCTGGAAATCCATTTGTAGAAGTGACTAAAGGAATTATACATTTGTACAAAGAAAAGTATGTGCACTTTGTTCTTATATTGCTATTGTTAATTATCGAAAATGATTAGTGTGATCACTTTTTAGCAAATTGACAGATATACGCCAAGCGGCAGAACGTACTCAGACTCTTTGCATCCTGTCTGTACCAGCTACAATGACCTGCCATGATCTTCTGAGGTTTACAGCACCTTGCCATCAAGATATACGACATTTCAGAATACTCAGAGATGGTAGTCCTAACCAGTACATGGCATTAATTACTTTCAAGTCTGCGGTAATTATATGATTACAGAGATTTCATCCAAGAGATGTACCATACTAGGAATAATTGGTGAAAGCATGTTTAAACCAAGAGAGATATCTATTTATTTCTGTGCCTGGTGATACTTGCCTCCTGTCTCTAAGTATAAGTTCAAATAGTAGTTTTCCATACAAACGAGGAATAATGGTTGAAAATAGGATAGTATTTAATACAGAGATGCCTCCATCAGTATTCTTCGGTATGATATCTACTGCATCGTGTTGATACAACCTTGAATAATATTTCAGAATGCAGCAACAGAATTTTATGGTTCTTTTCATGGTTGCCCGTATAATTCCTTCGAGCCAGATGTTATTTGCCACATGGTGTTTGTGTACAGTGTAGAAGTAACATATAATGCTATGCCTTTGTCCGGACACACGGAACTACCACTTTGTCCGGTTTGCTTGGAGAGAATGGATGAGAGTGTAGATGGAATTTTAACAATTCTGTGCAATCACACGTTTCATGCAAGTTGTTTAGCCAAATGGGGAGACACTTCTTGTCCAGTTTGTAGATATGCTCAAACACCAGAATCGCTTGCAGACAGCTACTGCATGGAATGCAGTATGTAAAAGATACAATGGTTTTACTTTTTGTTAAAAATGAAGGATACAGAAGTAATAATAAATATTTTTCAGATAGTACCGAAAGTAACGATGCTCTGTGGATCTGCTTAATATGTGGACACATAGGCTGTTCGCGATATCATCAAGGTCATGCCTTCCAGCACTACCGTGAAACACAACACTGTTACGCCATGCAATTAGGGAATAATAGAGTTTGGGATTACGTAGGAGATAATTTCGTTCATCGGTTGCTGCAAAACAAGGACGGGAAAATGGTCGAAGGCGGCCCAACAGCAACTAAAGCTGAAGGCGCTGCAATGGAAGAGAAAGTAGATTCTGTACAATTGGAATTCACTTATCTTTTAACGTCGCAACTAGAAACTCAGAGACAGTATTTCGAAGAGAGACTTGCGCGGCTAGAGCAACACTCTGTTTTACAAACTACAGAACTTAGGGATAAGCTAAGCCAAGTATCGGAAGAAAGTGCTAAACTTAAGGTAATTTTCATTTTCGAACCAATTAAGTACATTTCAATCCTTGCTTTTTTCGATATTTCTTGAAAGGAGTTAAATCTCTTTATTGTGTACTCCAGGAGGAGCTAGCTACATTAAGTCGTGAGAAACAAAGTGTGGACAAGCGACTGCAACAAGTTAGTAATAAATTGGTGCAAGTTCAGGCGGAATTGACTGAAGAGAAAGAATTAAGAAAGGCATTAGAATTGAATCAGGTCACTTGGCAGGACAAATATAAAACACTACAAAATGAAATGACCGAATATCAAAGCACTAAACAAGCAGAAGTCACAGATCTGAAGGAGCAAGTACAGGATTTAATGTTCTACATTGATGCTCAAAAGAAAGTGGAAAATTCGGAGCTAAGGGAAGAAATAGCATCAGGTCGCATAATGATCCCGGAAACATCGGGTACTGTTAAAAAGAACACTCGACCTTCCAAGTCTCGCAAAAAACGTTGATGTTACTATGTAATATTGTGTATAGCAATTAAAATTTATGTCTCATATAGAAATCATGAATTTACGTTTCACGATTTTAATTGTATTATAATTTAAATATTTCTGAAATATGTTTAAACCATTTACAGTGTAATTTAATGTAATTTGAAAGTTGACATACTGGTTTTAAAATTAGAAATATAGGACCAAAATTTATAACTTCTTTAATGTAACTTTCTGAAGTGAAAAGTCCAAAATGTTCTTTTATGTTATAAAAATATGCGAGGACAATTTTTTAAAAATTCCCTTTTTGAGAATAAATGGAATACGCGAAATAATATATATTTTGAACACAATTTAATATCTTATACATATATGGATATGAAAAATTTTGAATTCTCTTTTCTTTTATATTAAAAAATAAATAGATTGAGCATAGGATTGTATTTATTAATTTCCGCAAATCTGGTATTTAAAAATGAAAGAATAATTTAATCAGAACTCAAAACTTGTATTAATAGTAAGTATGCAATAGCATTATACACAAAATTACAATAATTCTTCTGTGTAAAAAACTCTTTTGAACTGTCTGTAACAAATATGTACTTTAAACAAATATGATCTCATACGTATTGATTCTCAAAATAATTATATAAATGTTTTAAAAAAGTTAGTGCAATAATTGGAAAGTATTGAGTGAACTGTAAATAAATGGCCATGTGGATACATATATATATATATATAGATATGTATCATATATACATATATTGTGATGGCAAACAATATATATATATATAAATATGTATTTGAACTTGAATAAATTTCTTTTAATTACAAAGGAAAATGTATTTTCACCTATCTACTTTGTATAATGCAAGACAGATTCTTAATTTTTTAGCCTTTCATATTAGCAGCAACGGTTATCTCATAAATACATATACGGAAATTTTTTATAAACTTCATTGTGATTGCAACTCCTCTCATAACGCAGTAACTCGGAACGCACTGCGAAACTTCGTAAAAAGTTTTTGTTCGTTTGTACATACATACTTTCATGCCGCTTCCATCCGTTCTAACCATTCGATTTTCATATCACGTATTCCGTCCGTCCTATCCCCGAATACAGAAACAAAGGATTGTAACAACGGTGTACAGTACTTGCAAATAAAAAATGCAAAGAAAAACTTATTTAAAAAAGTACCTCAATACATAATTTTTATTAAGGTATACACATGTTGCTGATTTATAGTTTCTTTTTATGGTAATAATTATTCTATTTTATCCTCATAAGAGTACGAGTTGCTTTTTAGACAATTATTAATTGCCGACGAGACTTCGTTGGCTCTGTTATAAAATAAAAGTGATATACATATTTACATTATCTACAAATTGCATTCAGTAGGGAATGCACGTGTTTTTTCTTTTTTTAACTAAACGATTGCACATTTGGACGTCGATGTTGGTCACGTGTATAAATAAGCTACGCTCAACACCCGAGATTATCGGAAATTGTTATATTTAACTAGGACGAAACGCATGGTAGTAGCCTTCTGTTCCAGAAGAAACGAACAGTTGCATAATTAAGAACTCCACAAGGTAATTTTCCAAATAACCATTAACAAACACAAACTCAATGAGAAAGGTAAAAATAGTATGTTTCCGATAAAAAGTTTCATGCATAATTTCGTTTCGATACGTAACGGTTCTCGTATTGAGAAACACCGTTTCACAACAACAACACGTCCTCAACACGGTACAACAAAGATTCAGTACATAATATAATAGTTCAGCGCTCTTTTTCGTTCATATTGCTCTTTTAAAATCCCACGACACCGATTCGCCACAAACGCTCCACATAATGTAAACAGAGTCGAACGTTTAAGATACTTGACACAGTACACTTGATTATTTTGGTAGATACGAATTTTTTCATGAAAACTTCGCATGCACGTGTTCGCTTAAAATTACTAAAATCTTCTTACAAGCATACATCTCTATGTACTAAGTGGGAGAGCAATATGAGGAACCAACATCGATCAGTCTTGGAATTACAATTAGCAATAAAAAAATCATGACATTCTGCAAAATATATAAATATAGAAGAATAATAACTAAGATCCGTAACTACCTTTTCGTGATAATTAATAACACTAATTGTCGTATAGGGCCTTGCGCGTTGCACAATTCAACGCAAATAAATATGGGCCTCTCCACACCCCCTCCCCTCCCATTATTCTCTCACATTCAATGCCAATGCATAAAACCACAAGTATGCATGCTTCGTGTAAAATAGTTATCGTAAAAAAATCTTTTTTTGTCCCGTGTAACGATCAACACAGAAAAAGTGCTTAATGACTCCATTATATTGATCAGTTAATTTATTATTACCTAATAGTTAATTAGTGTAAGTTGGCAAAAGCATTTCATCGTATAGGCTTCCTTTATGGAAGTTGCTCAGATCTCCAGACAATATGTATCAGTTAATATTCCTTAAAAATTTCTTATTATCTTAAGTAGTTACAGTCTCGAGTCATTGTATTTTAACAGACTATACGACGAAAATTTACGAATTACAACGTACCGTGTACCACACGCACGGCACACAACGTAAAATCGTCCCCTATGTTTATAATTACAAATTAACCGTCTATACGATTGTTAATACGGCTGGCGTTAACGCCAACGGTAAACTCAAGTTTAAAGTGTCTACATTTAAAATACCTAGTAAATAATAAAAAGGAGAACGAACGAGACTTTTCGAATGAAAATGTAGAAACGCTACATTACACAATCAAATTTTTTTTCCTTATTTCGTCACTCTTCTTTGTTCAACGCTAAATCATTTATTCTCTTTAGCCGGAAAAGTGAAGAAAGATTACGATTACAGGGGAAGAAACTAAAAGATAAAAGGATTAGATAGAGTATTGCAGGACAATACTAGTAAAAACATTGATATTGACTAAATGGATTAAAACTCTCGTTCGTTATTTTTTTAATTTTCGGTATTTACAGGCTCTCGCGCATGATGGATTCTGACGTGTTTGTTGTGGTTCGACTTCGTACCGCTCGATTTCCCGCAAATATGACACGTGTATGGTCTGGCGCCCGAATGTACCCGCAGGTGTTCCTTCAGGTAGTACGATCTATGAAATGTTTTGTTGCAAACGTCGCATGTATACGCTTTGTTCTCCTCGTGCTCTTTGACATGCCTTAAACAATTATACTTTCGTATAAACTGCGCTCCGCAATAATTGCAAGTGTAAGGACGCACATTTCTATGTGAATTCATGTGAGCGGTATAATCGCTGTGCCGGTAAAATGCAGCACTACACTGATTACATTTGAAAGGTTTGGTGCTACGGGCAGCGTGTGTCCATTTGTGCAATTGTAAATTCCACTTAGTACTAAACGCTTTAGAACAAACTTGACATTCGTACGGTCTCTCGCCGTTATGAACTCGCATGTGTACCGCTAGGGAAGATCGCAAATAAATACACTTACATATGGGACATTCAACGTTTTCGCTCTCCCTTTGAGCATCCGGAACGAATCTTCTATTGTGTGCACGGCGCATGTGTCGGGTCAGACTGGCCATATGAATGAATCTTTCGTTACAGTACGTACACGCTTTCGGTTTCTCGTCGTGCGTCTCTTTATGCCAAGCCAATTTCTTCTTCGTATGGAACACCTCGCCGCAGTGACATATATAATCCTTCAATTTCTTTTTTATGTTCAGATGATGTCGATTCTTATGCTGCGTTAAATTCGAATATCTACGAAACGTTTCATTGCAAAGATTACACTTAACAGGCGCGTTCCCGGTATGTCCATTAGTATGCTCGTCCAGTTTCTGCTTGGTTAGAAATGCTTTGTCGCAGACAGTACAAGGGAACGGTTTTATTCCTAGATGTCGTTTCATGTGTAACTTGAAGTTTTGTTTCCTATAAAAATACTTTCCGCATTGACCACATTCTAATGGGTGTATTTTTAGGTGGGCATTGAATAATAGAACTGATGGAAACTCTTCTTGGCATATCTGGCACTTGGTACTGTCACGGATCCGTTTCGATACTTCCGCAAGATGTACTCTTCTGTGGTGTAGCTGCAATGATTTTTCACTATTGAATCGTTGATTGCACAGCGTACAAACTACCTCGATGTTCGATGGTAACACTAGGGTTTCGATTTTTTGATCCGGTTCGGCTTTTGCAGTCACTTCCGACGATTGCGGTGGCTGGAGTTGATGTAATAGCGGCTGTTGATGATAAACTTGTTGAACATGTAAACCCGGTACAAAAATATCCTCAAATGCGTTCATGCGGCCATCTAGTAATTTGATATCCTTCACCTCAGGTTGATCCGTGGAATCTCTGCTACTACTAGGTCCGGCTTCTTTGTGCGTAGTAGTACTATGTACTCTGCGTTCTTTTGGACAATCGAATACCTCTGGACAATGATAACACTTGAATGTTCTTTTTGTGGGAGTTTTCCTATCGCGATCTAGGAATAAACTTGACGTAAAGTGTGTAGCTAAAGATCTACTATCTAACAGCGGCCCGCTAATTTCATTGTCTGATCCTTCAGATTCTTCCCAACTCTCGCGGGCCATCAAGTCGTAAGAGGTTGACATGCGCGACGACTCCTGACCAGCATACAGCTATGTGCACAATAAAATGAATCAATGTAAACATAAAATTAAGCGTGACTGTATAATAAAAGCTATTTAACATTAATCTATTATTTAAAAAATACATTTATTTGAAAACATGTAATAACAATAAATAACTTTCTAAGATAAATTGTATGAGAGTAGTACTACATGATTCAATTCTCGAACTATTAGTTTATATTGCAAAAAAGGTATTAGAAGTATACATAGATACAAATAAGAAGAGTATAATATACACACCTGCCAAGCAGACTGTTCTGTACATTCATTGCTTTCCTGTTCTGATAGTTCACCTCTTGGTGGCATTGTTTCATCTGCTCTCATGTTAATGCTCTTAACCTCTTCATCTATACCCACTCCACCTTCGCTACTTGCCATAGATTGTTGACTGGTCGCACTAACAGCTTTTTGTGAAGAATCACTTATAAATGTACTAGGAACTAAGATCTGAAGTCCATCAAATTCAAAAACATTCATTGGACCTGCATGAGCATCCTCGTTTAAACTAAGAAGTTCCATTGATGGCTTTTGGATAATTGATTTAGAAGAATGGAAACTCTTTGAATCAGAGCTACTCGCAACATCGATAGATTCTGACAGACTTACAAGATTACTTTTATTTGGTGTACTAGTATATGGTTCATGCGACGATGTCGATTGTTGCGAAATTGTAGGAAATGAGCTCACATGTTCAGTGATTACAGATTGATATGATGAATTCCCTTCCATTTTCTTCTCGGTATTTTCATTCAAGGAAACTTCCGATTGATCCACTTTCACATCTTGTTCATTAGAAGAACAATCGATAGGATCTTTTTCCGGCGACGCATCCATTGCTGCATTGCTTTCTTCATCATGACTTATGTCATTAGTGTCCATGTGACAAAATGAATGCACCGAAGCAGGTGAACACGGTTTACTCAGATCTTTTCGAACTCTTAGTACAGAGATACCACTGCTCACAGATAGCGGGGTGTGAGACCTAACATGGTCTGTACTCTCTCCGTATTTAATGAAAGGTGTGTGAGGACTCTGGATGTCTTCTATTTCCATATCTGCTTCATGAAAGTTATCTTCTGTTTCATTCTTTTCATCTTCATCATCTTCTTCGTCTTGTAATGTGTTTGCATCAAAACCAGCTGGATAAGAGTTAAGATTCTCATTGGAACCGAATTCTGAACGAACAGAGTAAGTCCTACGAGGTCTTTTTAGTACAACTGGTGATGGAGGTGCAGATATACTGTTCTTATAACAATATGAAAGACTTGAATTCTTATTTTCTTCATTATCTACATCGATCTCTGAATTTTCGCTAACTTTTATTTCTATATCAGACTTACAACTGTTCTCGTGTTCATGGGAACTATTGGCTGCTGTTTCATGAATCACGCTTTCTGCTCTCTCTGGTGAAGAAGAAGGAGGGCTTTCTTTTGGACCTGTTTCTTTCTTTGCTTCATCCTCACTATTCGACTTTTTATGTGATTCATTATTAAATTCAGATTCCATAATAGTGATTAAAAAATGTTCAAATTGTTCTGCTGCAGACTGATCTGTCTCTTTTATTGTATCTTCTGCAGGTGTCTGCGATGAGGTACCTTCAGTTTCATTCACTTCTTCTCGACAAGGAACTTTTTCTATAGTTGTTTCTTCAGTTTCCTTCTCTGCTGTAGTAGGTGATACTTTAGGCATAACAACTTTATCATTATCATCTTCATCTTCATATCTGTGAACATACTCTTGCGCGTCTGAGGGTTCATATTGCATAGGTTTACATTGAACATCTGTAGTAACAGCACACAAAGACTCACCATCATCCATGTCAGGTAACACACTTTCAACTTTGTCGTCTGCAGTAGCCTCAACGGTACAAGTGATTGCCAATGTTCTTGGAATGCTATTATATTCATTCTGAATATTATGCTGATCTTCATTACCTGAGGTAGGTGATTCATGTTCTTCAGTTTCTACTTGAATTATACTAGCTTCACTTTCATTTTGCTGCATAGAATTGTCTTCATTCAACGCCGAAGGAGAAACTGGAAGATTGATGTCTGGTAACACTTGTTCAGATTCTTGTTCTGGTTCAGGCAAAATTTCAGGTAAGATTTGTTTTGGCTCGGAATTATTTACAGGTACAGCAATGGCAGTCCTACCATTTGTTTCACCAGCCATGGTTGATACTGGCCTAACTCTAGATGTATTAGGTATAGCCGCGACCGGTGAGATCATCTGAACAGTTGGTATCTGTTGTTGTTGGTACATACCATATGGATTGTATAGCATCTGCATCATCTGATTAGCTTGAGGAGCCATTGCATATTGTGGTATCATCATAGTGCCATTATTCACAAACTGCTGATAACTAAACGATGCAAATTGAGGCGGCATCATTGTACCAATCGGCGGACACTCAAAGATGGGTCCTATAGGATATGGAGACTGAGTCGATAGATGAGTATTCTGTGTAACTGGCTGTGTACTTTGAGGCGATTGTACAGATGGAGAGGCTGGAGCTGGAGATGGTGACAACTGAGCTGGTTGTAACTGTGAAGAATTATTACTAGCTTTGATAAGAGCCTCAATGACTTGTTCCTTTGGATGAGTATCCAAATGTCTTTGTAAGCTGATACCCTCGCGCAAATAGAGGGTACAAACTGGACAAGCCACTGCACCCCCTGATGTTCCATTGTTTGTAAGATCCATTATGTCTGGGGTGTCTTGTTTATGCATGCAATTTCTCAATTACTACATTGAACACTGTCAATGTATTAAAATATTCTGTAAAATATAGACGGTGTAGCGATAACACCACTATTTTTATTTCCTAATTGACACGTCTTTGCTGACACGTATTTGTCGTGAGGGTCGTCGTCGTTGACGCCGTCCTTGTCGTTATCGTCGTCGTCTTCGTGATCGTCGTAGTCGACGTCGTCGTCGTCGTCGCCGCCGCCGTCGTGGCTATCGTTACCGTAGTGGTCGCCGTCGTGATGGTCGTTACAATTGGTACTGGCCGTACTCGTCGTTATGACCCGTAATTCGCCTCGTATCGTTAATACATATCACGGGCGGCTGTTCGCATTTCGGGCCCTATCAGGCCTGCAAGCACGCTCGAGCACGGCATATGCAGAGCCGACACGTTGCACCAGCCAGTGCCCCAAAAATATCGACGTTCATGGCTACCTGGTTCGTGTGTGCGATGGAGCCAGCAAGGCAGTCGCGGACAAATCAATATCCTATTAAATCGCCAGCCTCCCCTGCTCTTATTAAATTACACTTGCACCATTCACACACCACCGCGACAGAGCACCTTCCGCAAGCTTGGATACGATAGTTCGCTCCGAGAGTCTTTTGTTTCTCATTCGATTATCGAAACGGCATGTTTTTCGTCCGATTCCAGCCTAAAAACACAACAGAAAACAGTGACGACTGGTATTCCGCCTTAGAATGAGAACAACAAGAGGTCTCACTAGCAATGTGGCGCCCCCTTACACATTGCCCTATTAGCGACAATACGCTAGGATTCTGTCGATTACGAAACAATCGTTTCCTTGTTTATCGACTTCTTATTGCGACCTTTTTACGTTCGACGGGATCGACGTTCCTCTACAATTATTTTATTGGAATATTTATTATTAAAACAGTTTTTTCACTGTTCAGATCATCCCTATTATCTTTTCCTTTTGCATTCTTTTCAATTTTTCTGTCCTTTTGGCTTTAACTTACTTATTCTTCTATATTTTTATTAAGAATTTGTACTCATACATGTATCATGGAATCGCGCGTGAGTACTTTGTTAATCGATATATTTTCAGCGCTTTTATACTCTTCCTTATGTTTATAGTGTATTTCATTATTTCCATTTATTGCACTATAAATCTTTTATTATTATATACATAGCAAGAACATCATCGTAATGTCCATAAGTCTTTTTTAGAAATTTAATGATTATATGCATATTTATATATACGTTAATTATCCTTAATGCACATACTACGTTTTAGAGTAATTATTATTAAATAAATAACTAATTTGATCAATATTATATACGTACACCTTATTACATATACTTATTGATATTAGAAGTGTATAGTTAAAATAATCGAAACCATTTTAATAAATAGTGTTGAGTGAAAAGTATATATATACATATATCTAAGAGACTATAATGTAAATATTTTATTGTACACAGCAACATATATTTTAAAATCGTAATATGAGTGGCAGTACATTAACAGATTAATGGTATAATTTTTCAATAATAAAGGATGTACTACATTTTATTTATCTATGTTTTGTATATTAGATATGCGTATATCAACGTATATTGATAAATAAAATACATATTTGTCCACCCCATTAGCCAAATGACGTTAACAAGAACGGCGTTCCTATCTACACCATAATGTTCTATGGTGAGAATCGCATTTTCGGCGCGCATACTTACAAAATGCACTAAAATATTAATAGAGACTATACAAATATTGAATACATATGTAAAGTAATTTATTTACCATATGCATTAAACTGAATTTAACCATTGATAGAAAAAATCAATTCCTACTTTCTCTTCGTTCTTGAAAATTGATCTACGGAGTAATACACGCAAGTGAACCAAGCGCCTCTCTTCCTGGTTGCAATTAGAAAAAAATGTAGAAAATAGAAGTACTTTTTTAGTAGTTTATGAGATATTTAATAAATTGTTTGACTAAAAAAAGGTATTCAAATGGCTCTTCATTACATTTTAAATACTTCGTCAATCACTTTTCACTATTTACCACTGGTTCAATGTTAACCGTTTAAAGCTTTTTCTTCACCTTTTTTTCCAATTGTAATAAGAAAGGAAATATATGTGGACCATCCTGTATAAACATTTAAATTTTGATAAACGTCAGCTGAGAAAGCGCGTATAAACTCATAAAAAATAATAATATAATATTATATATTCATAATGTTATACTCGCGCTAATATTATTTTTTTATCCATATATTATATATATTATCATTGTACGTAGAAATCAAATAAGTGCTTTTAAATAAATGAGAAGACAAATTTTACCAGGCTAATTAACGATAGAATAACACGTCCGTATTTTTTTTAATCCGCAACAGAGAATAAGATGTTGTTTGATAATGCTGTCAAGAGATGATATATATATATATATGTACATATGTACATATTATATATAAATAGATCATACTAGATGACATAACCTTCATATTTCCATGTGCACATATGACAGATTATATTGTACTTCAAGCAACATATGAAAATTTACATTACAGTTGGAATCGTATGCTAGGTACAATGTACAATTTATACAAATTTAAATAGACGAACGAAGAGATTTGCATTCAATCAAAATAGTTTGCACTACAAATTCTGCTTTTTTAAGAAATTAAGCAGAACATGTTAGTTTCAATAATATGTAGGTTTTGCCAAAATTGTTTAAATCGAAGATTGTGTATTAATATTTAATTTTTGTTATTATCAACATAAAATTTGGATAATTTAGTTTAATTGAGTTTGGAAGTGTAAAGAACGAATAATGAAGACAAGTCAATGGAAAAAATATCTTTTCTGGTTTGCTCACGAACATGTTAATTTCCGAAAACACGTAAGTGATATTGTTACTTAATGCGTACCAGAATCTCTGTTTTCATGTTCTTTTCGTTCTATTTTCAGGAAATGGAAGCTATTCTTAATATGTTTTCTATAAACACCTGTGTTTATCCCGACTGGAAGGCACATGTAAGAAACTACAATTATTGTAGTACATTAGTATATTGTCTATATGAAATTTAACCATATTTAATATTTGATGTATTGCCATACATTTCTTATTTAATAAGCTATTTTAATTATAGCCTTATTGGATTGTAAATTTACCTAATGAGGATATTGCACATAAAATTGCTAGCAGAGCAGTCTGTATGAGATTTTGCATGGAACTGTGGGCTAATAGCACAGACTATGAAAATTTACATAACAAGTTGAAAAACTATCCTGTTGCAGAAATTAAAAAACATGTTGGGCCACAAAAATCATTTAAAGTTACAGTTGAAACTTTTTGTAAACACTTTTCACAAAGTGAAAAAGTAAATAAAATCGAAGTAAGTATATAAACGAAATAATATTAAACATGTTACTAAATGGATAATTTTAATAAAGGGTTTAATACTATATTGTAGTCTTTTAGTTATTTGCCATTGGAAGGACCAGTGAAATTGAATAATCCGGACACAACTTTATATTATGTAGAATTTTATGGACTAAATCCCAACGACATTCCTGATAAACCTTATGAATTGTTTTTTGGTCGGTGGGTAAGTAATTTTATATTGTACTACTGTATTATATTCAAAGCTGAACCTTAGTAGTTTATATCTTTTTAGATTACAAGTGGGCAAAGAGATTTAATTCAGAAGTTGTCATTGAAAACCAGAATATTTATAGGCAACACATCTATGGATCCTCAGTTGTCATTAATAATGGCAAATCAAGCTCAAGTTCAGAAAGGGGATATTGTTCTAGATCCTTTTGTTGGAACTGGGTCCTTATTAGTTGCGGCCTCTCACTTTGGAGGATACACATTAGGAACAGACATAGATTTCTTAATGTTGCATGGTCGTACAAGACCCAGTCGAAGAACGCAAAAGGTAAAGAATTTATGACATTTTGGTAGTAATATAACCATGTTTAATATAACCACTGTTAGATTAGGGAAAAAGATGAAAGCATTGTCGCAAATATGAGACAATACGGAATAAGTTCATGTTACCTTGATGCTGTTGTGTCAGACTTCTCTGTTCCTTTATGGCGTTCTGATATGACTGTAGATGCTATAATTACTGACCGTTAGTATAATCTTTTTCTGATCAAATCATGTTTGTTAAAGTTTTTATTATAGTTAACTGTATCTCTATTTTGTATAGCTCCTTATGGTATAAGGGAGGCAACAGAAAAAATAGGTACAACAAAATTAAATCCAGTAATAGAAGAGCACCAAGCTTCTTCTCACATTCCTTCAAAAGTTGGTTACGGTCTACCTGAGATTTACAAAGATCTGTTAAGTTTCTCTGCCAAGCATCTTAGAATAAATGGCAAATTAGTGTGTTGGTTTCCTTTATTTAGGTGATACATATTGAGTGTTTTTTTTATTATTATTATTATTAAGTGTACGCAGTGTTATTTAAAATTGATGTTATAGTAATAATAATGTTTTTCAGAGATCAGTACTCAGAAGATCAATTACCAAGTCATCCATGTTTAGAATTAATAGCTAATTCAGAGCAAGTACTTAGCAATTATACAAGTCGTAGGTTATTAACTTACAGAAAAATAACTGATCCTAAGGTATGATTAAACAAACCTTACCATGTAAATAGGAAAGTAACTTTTCAACCTTATTTCCAGGAAGCAGATGAAATCATTTGTACAAATTTAATTGATTTTCGAGAAAAGTATTTTGCGTTACGAAATGAAAGCCGAAAAGAGAAGCGAATCAAGAAAGCAACAGAGAAAGCGAGAAAGAGAGAGTTGTGGGAACAGAGTAACAAAGAAAATGCAAACAGATGACTCTGTAACTTTATGTGTAATAATAAATGTTTATTGTTCTCATCAAATTCATTATTTGAGAGTATAATTTATCTTAATTGCTGCCTTTTACATTGACATATGCAACATAGAGAATTACTCAAGAGGTGCGGGAATGTGTGACAGATTCAATAATGAAGATATGAATCTGAGTAAAAAAAATAATAGAATTCGTGACATTGTCTTGATGATAATCAATGATTCTACTAAATTATAGCTGTTACAAAGTTATAAAATTTTTTCTGTCTCTTGTTCCAATATTGTTTTTCTAAAGTAAAGTGTTTACTAATTGGTTTCTACCAATTATTAAACTAATCAAACTAATATATTATTCTATATTTTGCACAGCAAATATTTCAATACATTCGTATCAGTTTCTTTCATCAGTCATAGGATGATTATGTAAACATTTCTCAATCACAATAAATTGCATTTGTGTATAAATCATGAGGAATGAATAGTACATTTACATATGTTACAATATTTAAACATACACACATAAATTTGCATATCTAAACGTCAAGTTGCAATTGTCCTAATAATCCTTCCACTGTTTTAACTTGTTCATCTGAAACTTTTGATTGATATTGCTTTTCAATTTGATTAGCTGCCCACTCTCTTAACTTTATTGCATCTTTCTTCTTAGAAGAAGGGCATTTAGGAGATGTAGCAATATTATTTGTTGCCTGAAAATATATTGTAAAGAATAAAGATATGCAATAACATTTCATTTATTGAGTTCTTACCAATAATAAACCATAAAGGGCACGGATATTGTTTGGATTCAATTTTGCAGCCTGACAAAAGTAAGCCTTTGCTAATTCCATATTGTCAAATCCACCCTAAAGATAAGTAAATAATCACTATAAATTCTGTGAAACGCTCGCAAAAAATTGAATGAAACCAACATTACCTGAGAATACTTTATTTCTGCATATCTTTGGTAAATTAAATGACTGTGCGGATTATGCAATATAAGTTCCTCCATACAGAATGCAGCTTTAGAATATTCTTGTTCTTGTAAATACAGATCACACAACTCGTGCCATGCTTCTTGATCACTCATAAATCTATATAAGATGTAATATCCATACTTAATATATTACTTACTATACAATATATTACACTTATAGATTAACAATTATAATTATTTAAATACTGACTTCTTCAAATATTCTGTAAGCTCTTTAATAGCTTCTGGTATTCGACCCTTTACTTTCAATATAGCTATACGTCGTTTTCTTGGTGCAGCATTAGTTTCATCTCTTTTTATAATAAACTCCAGAACTTCTAATGCTTGATCATACCTATAAATGTATGTAACTTTTGTTAAGTAATACGTTACTGTTAATAAAATTTTAATAATTGGTATTATGAATACTTGAGATTTACATTTCCATTGCTTCAAGCTGCATAGCATGATACTTGTGAACTCTCAAGCTACGAGGAAACTGTCTCCTCAATATTTTAATACAATATTCTGCTAATGAATAATAAGAGCAATCCAGTGCTGCTATACAAACTTGCTCCAAAACCAGGTACTCTATAGAACAGTTAACAAGAATTGTTATAAATACTGACAATTGTTTTAATGTAAACTATTCCCTTAAGAAGTTTATTTGATCATACTTTCATTGCCAAGTTGATCAATTTTTGCCATCAATTTTGTTTCCCATAAATCTACTACATCCTTACTTTGACGTTCACCATCTTCTCTCCACGTTCTAAGTAAGTCTCGTACTTCTATACATTATAATTTTATAAAAGTATTAAAGCAATAAATTTTCAAGTCCATTTCCTACATACATGCAGTATGAAACTTTTGTAACTATTATGTGGGACCATTAATTGAACTCACCTTTCCAAGACAATTTATCATACGGACTTGCCATAGTTAAATCTTGAAATAAAAAAATGATTTATTGTGGTATATTAAAAAAACACACTCCTAAGAACTTGAATAAAACAACAAATTCAAAAATGTTTAGCAAGTTCATTTTACATGGTGTACTGTATTTTTATTTTACTGAAGTCATACTAATTTTCAAAATTACTTTTTTACATTATAAACATCATACGAACATATAACAATGTTATTTCCTTGAATAATTTATCACTGTAACATAATTTGCTGATACATTATAACCTAAATGAAGAAAAGAATGGAATATCAAAGCATATATAAAGATATTAACGCGTCTTTACAGATTAAAAATCTTTAAAATGAATATATTTTCAAAAGCCTTCTCAATAATAATTAACTTTGCCTATTTCCTGTTATTCCGAGTTTATTGAAATTGATTACGCTTCATCGTTTAATTGGAATTTACAACACAAACTATTACAAGTATATTAAACTTACATATAACGAATCAGAAAAAAGTAAAAATGTTATAGTAAAATATTGATTGCAATAAATATACACGTAATCACGAATCTGACGGTCGTTCATGTAGGTTACATAAAGCAGAAGAAAACTGTTCCTGTCAACGATCGAAAACTAATATGTATATATGACTTTAGCTACTTTAGACGGTTTAGACGGATAGTTCTTCATTTATGATTCTGAAATATACTGCCACGTTAGAATATTAAAATAGAAAATAACACATACATTGAATATATTCCGTAATTTCCTCTAAAAATTAATTTACATACATATAATACATCATTTCCTTATTTTTATTATCAATTGTGCGTGTATATATACTGACAAGCAAACTTGACTTCCACTAGGGGAAAAAGTGACGTAGGAGAAGGACCTCCTGCTATTTGGTTTCGGGAATAATTGAAATTTATGTCAAATTAACATTCGATTTAACATTTATTATAGTACTTGAAATAAATTTACTAAGTGGTAGGAGGTCTTTCCCTTACACCACTTTTTTCTCTAGCGGAAGCCAAGTTACTCGCAAGGTAGGGTACGGCAGGGTACGGTACACCCGGTACATACACCGATGACTCAATTATTGTACGCAATTTAGATGGCGCCATTATCGCTATACATTTCCTTAAATAAACGCATGCGTCGCATCACAACGCGACTAAGAAATTAACTGATATCTGTGGCGATTTCAATCACTCGAGAGAAACAATTGCATTCATATTACGTCATGTGAGTAATCACGAAAATTTTTTGCAAAGAATTGGTCTCGAACTTCGACTAAATCGGATTAAACGTGCAGATTTTTTGAAATCTTCAAGACTATTTTAATATGTTAAAAAGTCGTGTGTACTTTGAGGTTGTCAGATAATACGTTCTTCTTCCGTGTATCTACTAAATTTTTTACTCTTACTTGGCAGATTAACAGTGTCAACGAATTTTGAACGGTGAAGATGATGCTGGCTAGAGTTTGCCGAGTTGGTGCATCACCAGCTTTGGCCAGCTTTTTGAAAAGTCCAGTTGCTTCGAAACCCCTTATTTCGAGGATTCAGTGTTCGAGATTGTTCGCTAGCGATGGACGTAATGCATATACAAGAACTGCTCGCCGATCTGTCCCTATTAAGGAGCAAATAATTGCTCCTGCTGGAGAAACAGGTAAAGAATTTTAATGCAGAACAGTAAACAGAAAATTTCTCACAACATGATGCAATCATGACTGTAAATATGAGTATACATATACTGCAGTATACAGTACTATACAGCAGCTGTATGCATACTATTATTAAAAGTGCTCATGCGTTTTAGTAAATCAGTGATATTTCTTATGGAAAATGTTATAATTTATGTAAATTTTAAATGAATTTCAAAAAGATGAAGATACTATTAACATTTTTATATAAAAAGGTATAATTATCCTTTGATTTGCAGCTTTTAACATTGGAAAAGGTGCTGTTGCGGGTGGTGCTGTAGTAGGATTGGGTGCTTTGTGTTACTATGGATTAGGTTTTTCATCATCTGCGGGTGCTATAGATTATGCTGGGTAATTTCTTTTTCTAATAGTATTAATGCAGTAAATGTATTGATGATACTATTAAGAAAAATGTAACATAATGTATAACTTTCTACAGATTATGGCCCGAATATGTGAAAGACCGAATTAAATCAACATACATGTACTTTGGTGCATCTATAGCAGCCAGTGCAGCATCTGCTGCTGTTTGTTTACGTTCACAAGCTGTTATGAATATGGTTATGCGCCAAGGCTGGATTGCTTTAGGCGCGAGCATGGTAGCAATGATTGGCAGTGGAATGCTAGCCCAAAGTATTCCTTATAAAGAAGGTTTTGGGCCAAAACAAATGGCATGGCTAGTCCATACTGGTATTATTGGTGCAGTTCTTGCACCTCTGTATTTATTGGGAGGGCCTTTGGTACTTAGAGCAGGATGGTACACCGCTGGAATAGTTGGTGGTTTGTCAACAGTAGCTGTTTGTGCACCAAGTGAACAGTTCCTAAAAATGGGAGGACCACTAGCAATTGGCTTGGGAGTTGTGTTTGCAAGTTCTGTGGGTTCAATGTTTTTGCCACCAACTACAGTTCTTGGATCTGGTTTACATTCGATGGCTCTGTATGGTGGTTTACTTCTGTTTTCCATGTTCCTTTTGTATGATACACAGAGAATTATTAAACAGGCACAGATGCATCCAAAATACGGACATGACATGAGGCCATATGATCCAATCAATAAGTAAGTAATTTGTTTGAAGCTTATGTTAATCTGCAAGATGAATGTACACATTTTTATAACTCCGTATTGTTTAATTTTAGCGCAATCTCTATTTACCTGGATACTTTGAATATATTTATAAGAGTCCTCACGATATTGTCAGGTGGAGGCAATAGGCGAAAGTAAGATTAGCAAAGTTTCTTAATGAGAATGTTACCAAATTACGAAGTCTTAATTTACCATCACGTCTAAAGACAGCGGTACTCTTAATGTAATAATATGATAAATAAATAAGTTTCATGATAGTAATATATTTTATATCATAGTTAACGTGTAGTATACTGTAAGTTATCAGTTTATTTAAAATAAAATATAAAACATAGAAAAATAAGTAACATAGGTACAGTAACCTTTCCGAATCCGCGAACAGAACAAACGAATTAACAGTTCAATTATTAGTGGTAAAATTAAATGCACTTTATTGTCGTTTCCCAAGCATAATGTTTGAGAACAAAGTAAGATACGACTGCTAAAGTAATCGTGGATATTTTACAAATTTAAGTTAGTTACTTAATTCTACATCGAGGTACAGCGAAAGGGATTGTTGACACAGTGCATCTGCCGTTGTGCATGGTGTTCTGGTAATCGGATAAAACTAACGGTGTGTCAGCTGCGACTTGAGTTCGTTTTTTCAGCATCCACTGTAAGATGCATTGTAAATTTCATATATCAAATATGAAAGAAATATTTAATTCATTTGATTCGATGAATTTTGAACTACGTAGGATACGAATGTATGTTACATGGTAACAAGTGTTACTAAACTGCAGATGTCATTATATTTGTGTATATATATTAATATACATATATACATGTATCTATATATATTAATATGTATATGCACGTCGGGAATTTAACTCTTTCAACCTAAATTTAAAAAAATAAAGTTTCATTAAACGAAAACTGATCAAGAGGCACTAAAATTGGAGGCATACAAATGAATTTCGTTTACATTAGTGTTTCGATTCACTTTTCTGATTTAAAAAACATATTTTTAGATTTATTTCTTCGCGATTTGTTTTTGACCGATAGGATGCATTCGAAAGCACGCTTGTTTCGTATTCCATAGTGCATGGTATCAGCAAATACATTCAGGCATTAAGAGTTTACAATGTTTATACGTTTATGGAGTCCGACTTTGTCACTGCTGATGAAGAATGCCTTCTAAGATAACCAGCGAACAGCTGCCTCGCTTGATTGAGCACTCGAAGAACGTTGTGTCGACGGACCATTTTATCGAAATGCATGGCCATTTCATTATAATCCATTTGATTGCGCATAACAAAGTCTCTATGCTGCAGTAAAAGTGTAATGCACAGGAACATAAGGAAGGGGTTACCACCGCCAAATTCGTTAGGCGGAGGTAATGAACTTTCTCCTAACTGATCTTCACTTGTACCCGCTGGAATAAGATTCATGAGCTCTGTAGCCTCTTCACAGTGTTCTTGTGCAGATTGTTTAGTTGGACTTTCGAGTACAGTTGAATTTTGTTGCCAATTTTCAGTTTCTTCACTATCTGATGCCGATTCAGACCTGTGTTATATATTTATACACATATACATATATGTACAGTAAGCAAAGATATTTCGAACGATGTCAGTTTTAGTACTTGTAATAAGTAATTATACCTAGTAGTACGTTTTAGTAGTCTAATGGGAGTAACAGATTTAACGCCATTTTGGTCTTCCAATATTTCTCCGTCGTATTCGAGTTCTGCTTGCTCGTCAGGAGTGGCTGGATGAACTTTTTGTTGTAATGTGTGAAGAGGATTTTCCCACACGAATACGTCTGCAGCTGGACTACACCTCGCTAATTCCGTGTCTGTTTCACTTTCAACAAGTTCACTTTCCCTTTTTGAAAGTACGCAATCGCATTGCTGATCGCTGGGTGGCGATGGTCCGAAGACTTGTCGATCCAGTGATTCTAGCTCCAGTCTTAACTCTCTAGTCATCGAAGTAGTCATTGGAAAGAAATCTGTTGGATCATCCGGAGAACTAGGCTCATCTCGTAACACTCTAATAACTCCGGTTTCGCTCGAAACTCGCCTGGAAAATAAATAATAACTAATACTTTAAAGCGAAATAATGTCAACCGTAATGAGACTATCATTAGAAATACGGTTCTCAAAAAATGATCAATCCATAAACTAACCTTAATTCTGGTTCAGTATCGCTTGGCGTTATTTTACTACGATTCAGACTTGTAAAATTTAAAAATTCATTCAGATTTTTTACCACTCGTGTATATTTCTTTTCGCCATCATTTTGCTCGTTATTTTTATTTTGATCTTTATTTGGTAACAATAGTCTTTCCTTAAATTCCAATGAGTTAACGCGTTTAGATTTGCCAGGTAGAGAACCTGTGCTTAGGCACTTTTTTGTAGATTCTGTGTTTCTTCGATTTTTTGCCGTTGTTAAATCATTTTCTGGTTCAGAAAACGTTTCGTAAGGAGAGCTTGATCTACAAATAATGATTTCCATTCGGTATTGACATTTATTGCAAAAGTATCATTGATTTTTATCAGACGGTATTACCTCTTTGAATCTCCGTTGGTCTCTGCAGAAGGTTGTATAGATTCCTCTGCATTTAAGGTTTTTCTTTTCCCGGTAGCAGCAATGCTTGCAGATGAACTTTGCCGCCTAATAGCGCAAACCTTTGTGTACGCATTTTCACGAATGTGTTTTACGTTTGGGCTCGGTGGTGGCGATGGTGGCGGAAAGGGTACTTCAGCGAGGTTAAGTTCTCCATTCTGTGGCGAAGCCGGCAATGCGGCCCACAGTACCTCGAGCATTCTTAAAGCGTCATCCAAAGCGAATTCTCGCTTCATTTCCAGTAAAAGCCATCGATAGCAAAACAACAGGTCGTCTGCTTGATGAGATTTCAAATAAGCGTAAAAGTCAGGATCGTAATGCTGCAAACCTGAGGAAATACACGTAATAATTAAATCTGACAAAATTCAAGGATATATATACGATATTACATTCATTCATGTACTTTGTACAGAATTGTATTCTGTTCCTAGCAAGGTAATACTCATTTAAATTATCTTGGAGAATTTAAAACTATTTTTTATAATGTTATATGAAACGTTCTGTACCTTCAGCCAAATGGGCAAATTTAGTGGTCATCGCTATTCCATCGAGCATAAAATTGTCCTTTAATCTCCTCATTAGAGCGCACAAACATATGTATGCTTGTGCTTCGTCTCTCATAGTAACTAGAAGGGGCGAAGCCAGGTCGCTCATGCCCTGACAATAACTGACACTTGGATGATTCAAGGCGTACGTAGTTAAGATATTGAACAGACTGGCGGTATTTTGATTATCGTCGGAACCACCATAAAATTTGTGATGTCTATCAGTTCTCAACACGTCTTTGCGGACCATACTCGTCACGTACCCTAGGTCCCCAACATTCTGTCCCTTTTGAACAAGGGTTTTCCATCGTTCTCGAAGATTCTGATATTCCTGCGACTTTTTCTTCATGTAGTCCATTCTCTCGCGGCCAGACATGCCTTCTGGATACACATTTAGAATGTGTTTCCAAACCACTTTACGCAGACTCGGCTCGATCCCGCCGAAGTATATCACAGCCCTCAATTCTTTGGGGTGTATCACCTGACCGATGGGATCCAAAAATCGTCGAAACTCTGCATCCGTGAGCGGCTGTCGCGGTGGTTGAACACTTTGCTGATGTGAATCCTCGCCCAAGTTACCCAGAGCACGTTGAACCATGTTCAGCGTTCTCTCCATCTGCAAAATGTCGTCGCCAATTGTAACATCTGTCTAGCTGATTTGTTTTAGCTACCTGTTGCCATAAATTTGTAAAATTCGGATCGCAACATTTTTCAGGCTTCTAGAGTTGGGATTAAAAATTAGCCAAAATACTATTTGTGATACCAATAACAATTAATTTAACGTATTTTACAAAAGAATACCATTGACACCAAATTCGAGGAAGTATTCAATAAATTACATTTCTGAAACACGCATCAATGTTACTAAACGACATTCTGTCATGAAAATGTTTACCATTTATCAATATATAATATCCTATATAATAATAATACGGACGTGCTTCTATCCCTGTTTTACATACACTACCGCTCATGAGTCTATCTATATTAGAATTGGCTTTACTAAAAAGAAATGTGCGAAACTTTTTAAAAGGACTAGTCTTCTTCGCAATAAGGCCATAAAGCAAGGAAACTTCGTTCATTGTACATTTCGAAAATGAAGCGTAAAATAAAAACGAGTGAAATTTTCCTCGATAAGAGGTCAAACACTTATATAAGCGGTAGTGCGAGTGTGCAGACCCAGCGCTCGGTCAGAGTGGACCTCAGAAGAGTATAAGCACTGCCCTCCATAGTGCAATTGTCCTAACCGACATATTCAGACATCCGAGAAAAATGAAGTTTTACAATTTTCTTTGTGTTGTCCTTGTTTTTCATCAATTTTAATATAGAAAACGGTTCAAATCATATTTATTTTATTTTTTACACTTATCTTGAACAAAAATAGGACATAAACATAAGTCATAGCTTAACTTTTAACAAAGGACATTTTAACGTCACACACAATCGCAGGTAAACAGAGAATGTTACAGTATACTTGCCTTGTTCATGATGAGGCCAGGTAACTTGGGCGTCCTGTATGGAAACCCGGTCTCCTGCCGCGTCGATACTTCCTGGGCATTTTGCTCCCAGTAATACTCGCAGTCGCCCGTCTCTCCAAAGGGTTTCAGGTTGACTTGAAGGTACAGATACGGCTCAGAGGCGCTGGAACGACCGATTAACAGGTCAAACGCTGTCCAAGCTTTTATCGTGGAATGTCGAGATATGAATAGGTTTATCTGATGAGTCGCTTACCTAATGAACGCTGCATCCAAGTCCCAATCGGAAAGTAGGAATAAATATGTTTCCGACCCATAATCGTCTATTGCTCGATACGAAACGGTGAACTCTCTGTAAAAACGAAACAATTCGCGAATTTATTATTCCATTACATTTTACAATGAACAACCAGTGCAATACATGTTGTTTCCACTTATTACTAAACTCGTTAATTCCTATTCAATTTAAAATATTCTTATTATTCTTGTTATTTCGTTTACTATTTAGTAATTTTTTACCATCTACGGTGGAAGTTATTTATGACTCAATCGAATATTTAACGCTTCAAGTAAACGTTATTTATGACTCAACCCAATATTTAACGCTTCAAGTAAACTTATAAGACAGAGATGGGCAAATTCATTATCTAGATAAAGTTTCGAATAACGAATAAAACATGACAAAGTATTTCGCAATTGTTAATTCATTAAACGTGGAAATTCTGTGTTTCATAATAAAATAATGCTTCTTGAATCAGTAGACAATTTTCAGACAATTATTTAATCTTATTAATTGTTTAAAGGTCAGGATGACGATCTTAGATATTACATACTGCTTTTCACTACTTATTATTCGAATAAAATTATGTCTAACACTGTTATAAGCTTTGAGTTTTAAGTTCTGCGTTTTGGGAGAAATATTTCGAACTTTTGTTAGAAATATCAAAATGGCGGAGTAAGTAATTTATGTGACTGAGGTCTTTGAAAAAGTAGAATAAATATTGAGTTCTTCCACTCGAACATAACTCTGGTGTGTTTTCAGTAGCAATATTTTCGCCGATTTATAATACATAAGCGCTTACAAATACTCGCAGCTCTTGGGACCGTACACTCCGTAGGTTCATTTCCAGAAGAGGCATGTTTTTTTTTTCACCAACCATTTTCAGCACATTAACATTAGAACTACCAGCACTGAATGTATACTAAATTAAATTGTATAATATAGTAATATACTCAATATAATAGTGTAATTTAACGTAATATAGTAAGACACAAAATTTGTAATAAATTAGAAGCCAATGTAAATTTCGGCTAAAACATTATTATAATTTCGGTAATGCTAAAATAAGAAACCCGCAATCCATAATTTTAACGGGTTTGGTAGTTCTATGTAGTGTTAACGATCACCAGTGTGGGACCACCGATGGAAATTTCTATTTGTCCAAAAGCGAACGAACGTAAGTATGTTCTTCTGTTTGCGTATGTAATACACTCCTTGATTAGCCGAGTGTTAACAATGATACTATCTCACCCTTTGATGTCGAACGCTTTGATGAGTATACTCTGAAGCACCTCGATGGATGTTATCTGCGGGTCCACACTGAATTTGCGGTACTCGGGCTGATGTCTGGTCTCGCATTTCTACGTACAAACGATAACCAATGTTTAATCGACTTCATCAATGGAAGTATTCGTAATCTTAAATGTTAGCCCCTGATACGATTTATAGACTCACTATAAGGTCAATGTCCCTATTTCCGCTCAGTACGTATATTTTTTATTTAGTGTAAAAAGTTAAACAATAAATTAGTTATACAAAAAATTGTTGCATAAATAAATAATAAAAATCAATTTCTGCGATCCATTCTTGGATGATTAGAAATAGGGACATTGATCTTAGTTTTTTTAAAAGGGGGATGCGATTAAATTATTGGTTTCCAACGTGGACGCTGAGGAGATCTGGGAAAAGTGTTCCAGTTATTTTATTTCCTTTATTTTTTATTTGATTTTTTAAGATTCAAAGATTATACGAACAATTACAATTGAACATTTTGATAATAGAAATAGGAATCTGAAGGGGGAACAAACCAGATTTTTGTAGCGTGTGTTAAGATCGAATTATGTTCTCATCCCTTCCATCTATAATATTTGCAAAAAATTATTTTTTGTTAAACGTTCCGTATCCATTCATACCACGCGGTAAGTAGCTCCGTTTAACATGCAGGCGAAATTCGTTTGTATCGATCCTGCACGAATACAAGGATCCAAGAGGCAGTGTAGCGGCGGTTTCGCCTACGCGTATAGTTTTTTAAGCACAATTAAAATGTTCAACTAGATACTTGTTTCGAAAGCGTTTTGTTTGATCAGCCGAAAGTGGAAAGCGTGTAGCGATTACGTAAAAATCGCGCTTACAACGCGATCGTCGACTTACATAAAAGAGATGCAACACTGCACCGATCCTTGGACGTTTCGTAACGACATTCTCAATCGAAACGGACTACCAGATTAACCCTGCGACTAACTAAGATCACGACTAATCGGACTTATCGCTGGGTTACCTTCGATTAATCCTATCTTTCGAGCGTCCCTCGCGTCTTGTGTGAAATACAAATAGGGGTGTTTATAGATTATTTGCAATCTGCTTCAATTAGGATGAATATTTGACCTTGAGTTGTCAAGTCGGGAATTAATTTTGAGAAAAATTGTTATTTGTACGATTTGAGTGAACAGTATAATGAAACGAATAAATTAATTAAACCTAAGTCAATCTAAATGATTTAAAAAAAATTATGTTTGACACGTTACGTTACTAAGTGCCCCTCGAAGCAATGCAAACTTTTCAACAAATCTTTCGCATCCTAAACAAGAACTAGGTTCCATATCATGACATCGAAGTCGATCTACTATGTCAGTTGCATAAACTCGGTTCTAATTAAAGACCGGTCTAAGCATTTCGATACTATTTCTAACAGAAAGGGTCGCTTTAATTACACGGATAATATATTAATAAACAATCTGTGGAATTATTCAGTAATGATTTTCAATTGTAAATACACGTTAAAGATATTTATCGTATCAGCTTAAATAAGCAAGATACAAGTTGAAAATATAAAAAGTATTTATTATAATTCTTCCAATATGGCTTTTAGTTAAATATTTGTAACAAACTTTTTCTTATTAACACATCCACGCCGATAGTATTATGTTACATTCGAATTCGTATTTACATGTCAGTCATCGGTGACCGACACGGTGTGAACGTGTTAACAAGAAAAAAATACTTTTAAAATACGGATAGAATGAATACTACAAATGTAATGAAAAAAAAACTTAAAAATTACTCTTTTTGAATATTAATTTTTTTATATGTCGTTTGAATAGATAACACAAAATCTTCATCGTTGGCAATTCAAAATTATACGTTTTTCGTTTCAAAATGCGAAAATTATAATGCAGATATCTGTTTAACCTTATATTGTATGAAAGTTTAAGAAATAAATGTCTATTATCTGATATTCTCATGAAATGTTCAACGATAGTCTTGACTGTGTGAACAGTGCTTAAGCCCAGTCTGAAATTTTGCGTTTCGACTATGAACGTTTCGTCGCAAACCACAGATGATATTTGACTTTTTAACGATGTTAATAAGTGTTAATTCTTCACGATTCCTGGAAAACGAGCATGCAACGTCGACAGCCTGACATTTCATTTGTGTTTTAGCAAATGTCAAATATGGACGCCCGCATGTCTGCGCGGAATATGGTACGGCAGTTTCTAATTGGACGTTCCTACCGCAGTGCTGTAGGACTGTTTGCACAGAGGTGGCTGAAACGACATCGTTCTAATTATTTTTACAGAACGGTGGTTACTCCAATTACGGAATGCAATGCACCTCTAAGCGATACTATTTTCGAGGAAAAAACTAAAAATGTATTTTTCAAAGTGGTGACGCCCCGAGCGACACTTTCTAATACATGAGTATAGAATTTTATAGAACTTTCTAATACATAATTCATGGAAAGAAGATTAGTTTTATTATCTGAAGAAGGTACATCCGTTTCTCATAGAGGGCGCATCAAGTAACGTGTCAATAATTATGTAGAATTGTATTTCAAGGATGGTAAGTGTATTACATTGTTAACAGTAAAAAAAAAAGGAAACAGGTAGATATATGATTTTATGTATATACATATAACATTGTCCAATAATCAGTATAACAGAAAGACAAATAACGATTAATGAGCTTTTTACTGTATCTGATAGAACATTTAACAGATAAAACAAATTTCTGTCTAATGCCACGTGTAAACATCTGCCAGCTACATAGGCTACTCATTATTTTGTGAAATGTTCACATTTGGAAAAAATCTGGAAGTTATTTTCATTTCATTAAAGTCATTTTTTGATACGAATTTTTTTGGAGTGAACACCTTCACTTTATCAACATTGTTTCCTAAATAAAGGACAATCAAAATATGATAATCTGCAACTGTCTTGAAATTATTTATTACATTAAAAATATTAAAATTTTTCTTTAATCTACCCCTTGCTTAGGTCGATTTTAACTGATGCAATATTAGTCTGGAGTGTTGACAATCAACAGTGCACATTTCTTATCTTACTCTTCTCCAAACACTGAATCTATTTTTTCCACTGCTTTCTCAGTGTTATTGTAGCATTTAAACTTGAAAAACAGGTTATTGAAATATTTCTGTTCTTGATTATTTCAAATTGAAAATGCAAATCATCAATATCTCCTTCGAACATGTAAAGTCAAAAAAAATTTGTGGTATATGCACCAACTTAACAACAACATAGTCACTTTTAAGTGGTATAATTTACATTTTATAACAGGCAATAAGTATCGGATAAACATTATCTTCCTGTAACACTACTCAACTCGATAACACTTTATCAAGCTTCAAAACCCTATGGTTTATCATTAATAACTGAGCAACTTGATTCTACATAAATACTCTGTCATATCCAACTGGTTTGTAATTTAGATAAAAACATTATCGTTAGTGACATTGAAATTTTACATAAGCCACGCGCAGGTGTTCGACAACGTGAATGGTAATGAATATTTTAAAAAAGAAATAAATGAAAATTAAGATTCAATGTGAAACGGTAATGCGACCGTACCTTCACTTTGACGCGTACGGCCTCTCTAGGGCAGCCGAACATGTCTGCTGTTGATACACAGGCTTTTTCATGCACTAAGGATCTTTCGATAATTCAGGATAGCTCCGGCTCTCTAAAAAATATCCGCGCCTCCTCGGCGATACTCTCATCGCATTGGATCGAATTCGTCATTCTTGCGCTTGACACCAAACAGTTTTTGCTAGGTTAATTCGTTTCACGCGGTGCAGATGAATCCAGCTTGCGAGCTTTCGTTTCTCTCCGCGAGGAGCATCCTCTCTCTGTCTCCTGTCAGGAACACTGCACCCGCGTTTCTCGAAGGAATCGAAGTTCTTCCAATCACACGCACCAGTTTGACACTTGGAAGTCGGAAGCGATCCCCGCTGACGTTCACGGTAACGGAAATGAATTTGTTCACTGACGACTGTCGATGGTAATCGGTTTCAAGATGTTACGAGGGGATCGTTTCGCGCCTTCCTTGAAACTCTTGTGGCACGGTCTCGTCGTCACCGTGACATCGTTGACACTCCAAAAACCCACGTTCGATCTTCGGGACCGTGCGTCCCTTTCTTTCGCGTGAAACCGTCACCGGGAGGGATAGAAGGGAGAGTTTCAAAACGTGACAGGCGGAACAAAGACAGACAGACTCGCTCGAGCAAATTGGCGTCGCGTTTCCGCGTGAGTGAAAAGAGAAAGAGCGAGAATGACAGATGCGAGAGACCTGAAGTAAGCCGCGGAAGGCCGTATGGGTTATCTCGTTGCCGCGCGTATCGATTTATCTTGAACGTTGCTTCTCACCATGGGCGCTCGATCGTTGTGCGTTCGATATATTGTTATCTAACATTTCCATTGTTTGTAATAATTATGGAGGGTATCCGAACGTTAATCTAAGTTTATCAATATGTTTCATTTGTGGAAGTAAAAAAATGTTGTACAAACGTTGGCTTCAAAATACCTCGTAGAATCATAATAAATATATTAAAGATAAATAATTATGGACTGATAACATTGTCTTAATTATGTACTTATTATTTTAAATAATAAATATGATTAGAATAAACAGATGAGATTCGTAACATCTATCTGTTATTTTAATGCGATACAGCGATTTACGTCTATTATATTGTAATACTGCCATTGACTGTATATATTTAATAATTTGAATACAAAGTGTTTACACCTTCTCCTGTTTAATAATATATATCTTACAAGTACTTCAATTTTTTCAATTCTAGCAAATTTCCTATGTTTTTACTATCAGGATGTAACTGTTATTTTATGTTTTAAAATACCTATGTAGTATGTATAAGAAATTTTACAGAACACTGCATGATGCACAGTTTTTTTATTGCAGTGTGTCGCCACCTAGAAACGATAAGGTAAATTGTTTTACACATGTACATATGTACTGCTAAGTAGTAGCACAGACGAGATATAAGAATAGACCTAACATCTTATGGGACTAGGTGTCCCACGAAAATCACGCTGATAAAATAAGAACATGTAAAAAGTAACATTAATAAAATGTCCAGTAACGATGCATTTAGAATAAATTGTCTTGTGGTTAAGATGTTTAAACATGTTTCATGACTGTCATATTTATCCCTTAACCTTAAACTGAAGTATCGATATTTTTATTCCCTTCAAATCATATAGATACACGCAATATGAATGCAATATATAACACTTCATTTGTGCTAATAATACTCACAATTCATGCTTTATCGGTAACGTCGGGTATTGACACTAAAATGGTAAGGGAACTTCTGACGTCCTCGAAGCATGGGACAGAAAATTACATTGCATGTTAGGTCTATTCATATATCTCGTCTGTGCCGCTACAGCTCCGACTAGTGCGGGAAACAAATGTCTATTGTACATGGAAAGTTAAATTTCGCGTAAAATTTGCATCCGAAAAAGCGCGGGAAAACTGTAAAATCGATAAACTGGAATTTTTATGGTAGTCACGTAATGACGGTCGGTGGAACTAATTCTAGAACTTCTCAATCTAGCTCTGGTAATCGCTTCCAGGTGGCGCCACTGAATCGATCTGTGACTTTTCCGCACTTTTTGAATAAAATTTTAGAATTAGTTCGGTTAAACCTCACCAGGCGATTACCATAAAAATTCAAATCTCTCGATTCTGCAAGTAAGCATAGTTGTGCAATATGTCACGGTTGTTGAAATATTTTTCCTTTTTATCGTTCCAAAAACGATTATTTTATATTACATAATAACTTAACTGTATACAAAGTATATAAAATACGTAGGAGAGACAGGGGTTAAAAGTAATAGGGGTAGGTTTTAACAGGGCTTACAACTTTTTAAATAAAGGAGACAGTGTTATGATAACAAATAATCAATAAATTGTGATAATTATTAATTGTGCTAATTAATTGATCTCATTAAGAAGATAATGTTATGTTGTGCTAATTATAAAAAGACAATTTATGATACGTTAAATACCTATTGATGAAGAAATAATGTTGTGTTGAGCCAATTAAATCGAAAACTATAATGTTATGTTGATTCTTTGTAATTATTAGCTAGTTTTAATTAGTTTTTATTACTGAAAATGTTATCACTTCTATAATTTGGAAACAAGACCAGATGGAACCAACGTTCATACGAATTTATAACTTTGCTGTGCAAACTCACCGCTAGAACTGTACTCGTTAATAACAAAACATCCAACACGAAGATACATCTCCGCGAACTTCAATGGCAAAAGCTACGGGATTATACTAATTTTTCGTTACAAATATGCAGTCGGAGAGAAAAACGGCCAAACGGAAGGGCTGTAAATATGTATGGACAAAGCGAAAAATCGTGAAAAATTTCGCTTGCCACGCGACAAATAATTTGCAGCTTCGAATCGATCGCAGTTTGCACGTGGTTTGTGTGCCACCGTGGTGTACACACGTCCGCTCGGCGATCGGTAATGCCGCGAAATTACCATCTTTATTGCTAATTTACCGTCGAGGTGTGTTTTACAGCTTCATACCAAAACAGCTGGACGAAACACACGGTGGATTGGGGATACGTGGCTGGAATATTGGGGGAAGACAGGAGATGGACAGATGATTTGTGATTTGATGGAGACCCTTCGTGTAATAATAAGCACAACTGAAAGTGGCATTAACTGTAATATAACGTTCACTTTTATGTAGTTTGTAGATTACATAATTATTGTCCTGCAATGAGTAAAATGTTGTTTATCATATTTACTATCGCTGGTATTGATTGGTATTGGCATGAATTAATAATTTTTATGGAATTGTAGTTGTTAGTAGATTGTGGATTTTTATGCAAAATGATGTTTTCTAAAGTAATTCATAAAGACAATAGCAAATGTATGAAGTTCTTTCTTCTCTTAAGTATCATATTGGGTACAGAATAAAATAGAAAACTCGTTGTATGTGATGAATGTTTTGCCCTTTGCTGTATTTTGCAAACCCTTGTAGGCTATAAATGCATAAAATCCGTCGTTCAGTATAAAGAAACTAAAAAGTCATAAGTATGGTTAAGTGGAGTTACAAATTTGAAGCAATCAAAGAATCTTTCTTCTCATTATTGCTCAGTGAATACAAAAAGTATCATCCAACATTACTGTTAAAGATAAAGCAATTTAAAATAGCAAGTGAACGATTCTCTGTCAGTTTTAAAATTGATCGGAATTCATTGATTGGTATATGAAATATGCAATATGATAATTAGTTTCGTACTTAATTTTAAATTTATCGAATCGCGATGAAATATGAATTTTATATGTAAAATGGACCAGTCCCTGGTTCAATTAGTTTACTGATATAATTGAATATGGTATTGATTTCTTCATTAATGAATTTTCGTATATAAACTTTCAATTGTGTACAGGATGTCCCATAACATAACGTGTAAAATATATTTCGTTAATATAATATCGAACACGAATATACCTATAATCGTATAAACGTCGCTAAAGAAATTTTATACGACATCAGCGTTCATACTTTTCAATATGTTCGCCATTTTCGCTTGTACAAAGTTATCCAGTTCGTCGTAAAAAGAGATTGGCGCGTCTTTTATAGCACTTCGCGTGCTGGCTCTAAAAAATCTGCACAAAATTGATTACACTGAATATATAATCGGAAATATGATCGAAAAGCATATTTTCGAGGTCAGTTAAGATCCATAAAATATCAGCTGTAGATTTGTCTTGCCTTCGCTTGAAAATGTATTGTAAAATTTTATCTTGCTAGTTTGAAACCCTCACATTTCAGAAATATAAAGAAAACAGTTTAAAAACTTGAATGGCGAAGGCAGTGTAAGTTTTATATAGCGAACGTCAGATTGATAAATAAGGGTATTTTTTTATTGCTGATATTTAAAAAAAAAAAAAAAAAAAACTTAGCAACAGAATTTTTTTCAGTTAATGAAGTTGTCTCTACGCGGGATAAATATTGATATAGAATGATCAGAATGAAAATATTATTCAGATAATAAAATTATACGATGAGATAATCTTTTAAAAAGGAACACATCTTTTTAGTGTAGGTATACTGATTTCTAATAAAAATTAAGTTTCAATAAATAAGTACATCAATTACAGTTTCATAAATGAGTTAATTTTAATAAAGTTACAATTTGTTGTTAATTTCAGAAATAAATCTATAATTCTATTACTTTTATGAGCAGATATTAAATTTGAATAAAAGAGGAATGGATGTCTACTGTCATGAGAGCCACGACTTTATAAATGATTATTAAATATTAATGGGATCGTTGGAAAATTAATGCTATTTGGCAATCAAATTAACTGCTTCGTTTCTCGAGTGCTAATAGTCCGTCGTCGCGAGTAAACTTTTGCGACATAAACGACTACGATATACCTACATATACTGGCAAAATTACCTTCCCCCTTTGTTCGTCAATATTAAATTTCACAAACCTCGACCACCAATTAATACTATATGTTTTCCACGATCGCCAGTACCTTGTGCAAACTTTCCAAGTGGCTACGGCTTCATCCATCAATTATACAATTAATTACGTACCTACACTCTACACAGACAATCTTTTCTTAATAAAACGAATGC